TACTGAGTCACAGCACACAGCTTAGAAGTCCTAGGAGGGTGCTCTAGGAGGCACTTACATTCGGGTTTAAACAAGGAGCTTTGCAGCTGTATTATAGCTCATGATCATATATTCAAGTTATCTGGCAAAGTGCGTGGGTGTGTCCTTGGCTGTCCCAGGTCTTTGAGTTTGCAGCCACTTGTCTGTTATTCTTCCAAGGGTCCACCATTCACCCACATCCTCTTATCAACATTATTGTCCACTGGCACCTGAGAGGGACCCCACCCTCCCTATAGCAGGATATTTTGCATTCTTGCCTTGGTATCTGACCAATGCTATTTTTCCATTCTTGTGATTCCTTCTTGTTTTCTTCCACGTCTCTAACTCATATGTATCATTTAAGGTCAAATTCAAGAGCCATGTCTCCCATGTACCTTTCTGGAATATGCCATCCTTCACTGGTCTTCTGTACTTTAGAACTCATTCAGTAGTCACTCACTTGATAGTTATATACTGAGGGGAGTGATGGCCATTTATACTCGTTTGCTGAGGCTGCCCTAATAAACTACCGCAGACTGGGTAGCCTAAACAACAGAGATTTATTTGCTCACAGTTCTGCAGGCTGGAAGTACAAGATCAAGGTGTCAGAGGGTTTGGTTTCTCCTATGGCCTCTCTGCTTGGCTTGTAGACGGCCTCCTTCTCACTGTGCCTTTCCTCTGTGTGCACACATCCCTGGGATCTCTTTGTGTGGCCAAATTTCCTCTTCTTATAAGAGTGTAATTCAGATCACATTAGGATGCCACCCTGATGGCCTCATTTTAACTCAGCCGCCTCTTTAAGGGCCCTGTCTCTAAATACAGTCACATTCTGAGGTACTGGGGGTTAAGGCTTCAACATATGAATTTTAGGGGGAAATAATTCAGCCCATAACACCAGTGGAGACTGGGCTGAAAAAGATACACGTCATCCTCGTCCTCTTGTTGTTTGACAACCTGGTAGAGAAGACAGATATTAAACACCCATTTGCATGAATACATAATTAATTACCATTGTGGGATGGTCCAAGAAGTAGGATCCATGATACTTGAAATGGTGGTCTGGTGTTGAGGGGGCTGGTCAGGAAAAATCTCCGGGAGGAAGTGAGATTGGAAGGAAGGATGGATGGGAGTCAGCCGGGTGAAGAGGGAGAGTTGAGTATTGCAGACAGAGAGATCAGCCTTTGCACATTCCAGGCAGTGGGAAAGAACACGACCTGCACAAGGAATTGAAGAAGCCATTGTGGCAAGAAGCGAGTCAGGGAGAAGGCACCAGAAGGCCAATGGGGCCAGATTACACTGGATGGTATAGCCTGACATCCTCATTTCAGTGCTTACTACGTCCTGCTTTGGGTTATTTTAAAATTTTTTGTGTGGGAGTGGGGCGGCATGCGTGTTTTGCTTCTCCTTATGCTCCTTTAGGGATGGGATCCTTTCTTCATCTCCTTTTATATTCTCCCCAGTGCACAGCATTGGGCTGGGTATACAGTAGGTGCTCGATAAATAAATTAAGTGGGTGTAATAAGAAGTGAGATGAATAGATGCACTCTTATTTGTTTACCTTAGGGGCTGACCCAGTCTGGTGGGTGAGCTTCTCCTAGAGGCTCTAGAAGGTAGGACTTTTGGTCCTGTGACGCCACCTAGTGCTCCTTTTTATTACAACAACAAAGGGGAGCAGAGTGGTGAGTGAACAATCTCCCCTAATCTGGAAAATTGGAAATGAAGCATCTTCTTTCATCAACAGAAATTAATTTGTCCAACCACCCATCCTCTTGTCCATTCATCCATCCATGTTGATGTCCACCTGCATCTCTTTCCTGCGAGTTGAACATGTCACGTTCCTTTCCACCTCCTGTGGTTCCCTGATTTCCCATGTTGAGGTCTTTCTGTCCCCACTTCACAAGCTAGCAGGGTCCAGACTCCCTGAGCACCTATAGTACTCACTGTCGACATGGCCTGTTCTAAATGATACTATCACACTGTGTTAGAATTAATTGTAGATTTTCCTTTCTCTTTCTTCCAAAGCCAGATTGTGAATGCAAAGGGCAATGATGCTGCCTGAGTCACCTCTGTGGTTCCTGTGGCCAGCCTTGTGCCTGCCATGTAGCAGGTGCTTAAAAAAGCGTTTGCTAAACTGAATTGCTGTCACCTTGGCAGGCCATCTGCTTGTGAAACGGTCCTTTAGGAGATTCCTGGGAAATGGAAAGACACATAGCCCCACCATTGACACCAGTACAAGGTATGGGTGGCCAGGCCCTTGAGGTCTTTCTCTGTTGTTAGGTACCTTCAAGAATGTTCTGGAGTCTCTCTGGATCATGGTGTGCCCACAAGCCAACAGTCCCAGTGTGTACTCAGGTTTCCTGTAAACACACGAATCAGCCCGAGTCATGTTGCCTACCCTATGTCCACCTCATTTCTGTTATTTGGGCTTGCAGTTTGGTTCAGCCTGCTTCTCCAGCTTCCTCTGCCTCCTCTCCCACCAGTTCCAAGAACATTATGCCGCAGCCAGACTGTGCCCTGTTTGTTCACCAGATACACAGTCTCTCTGTTCATGAATGAGATATAATTGCACAAGTGTTAATTTCCCCAAAATTAATTCATGAATTCAATCAAGTTCCAATTAAAGTTTCTTGTGAGGAACCTGAAAAACATCCTGAAAATTATATGGGATGATGAAAGTTCATGAATAGCCAGTGCAATTTTGACAGAAGTAGGGATGGGGGACTTGCCCTTCAATCATGATGGCTGGCTACAAAACCATCCTAAGAAAACCTTGTGGTACTGGAACAGGTACAAACTGGAGAGCTCAGAACAGAATCATCTGTATTTGGGAAGCAAGATGTTGAAAAATGGGCTCACTCCATTAAGAAAAATAAAACAGGATCCTTATCTGACACCATATGCAAAGGTGGACTTCAGCTGGATTAGAGAACTGAATGTGAAAAAGTCAAACTATGAAGCTAATAGAAGAAAATGACAGAGAATACCTTTATGACCTTGGAGTTGAGAAGAGTCTCTGAAAAAGCACTGTAAAAAGTAAAAAAAAAAAAGAAAAAAGATGAAGGGCTCCAAAATTAAGGATTATTGTTCTACAGAGGACATCACAGGCAAAGTTTGCAGTCTTTGATAGCAGATTAATGTCCAGACTTTACAAAGACCTCTTGCAAATCCAAAAGAAAGAGACCAATAGACAAACTGGCAAAGGCTATAAATAGATAATTCACAGAAGGGGACCCCAAGTGGCTTATGAATGTATGAAGAAATGCTCAGTTTCACTAGCAGTCAGAGAAGGGCAAATTAAAATAAAAATATGTTGATACTTCTTCCGTGATATTGACAGAGATTAGAAAATTGGCTAATTAGATGAGTCAGTATTTGTAAGGCACTTAGAATAGTATCTGGCTTTAGTAAACACGGTATAAGTGCTTATGAATACACAAACTACCCTGTGCAGGTAAGGACAGGAACGTGGGAAAGAAACCCTTATACTCCGCACTGGAGTGGAATGTAGAGCAGCAACTCTGGTGTGCAATCCAGCAGTACTTGGTGAAGTATGCAGGGCTCCCACCAGGCCACTAGACCTTTGCGCTGTTGGAAAATGGTGTTCAGTACTGGGCAGATGGATTCGAAAAACGCCTACCCTCTGGATACTTACAGCCTTCTAGGTTCATGACTTGACCAGGGAACAGAGCTTTTGTGGGAAGAAAAGGACACATCTTCCTCCAGCAGGGCACATGACATGGGAAAGAGAGCAGGGACTGTTTTTCAGCCCCCACTGGCCTCTCGGCTTGATGTCTTTGCGCAAGACAAGTTGTATAACCAAATGTGATGTCCCTGTGCATCCCCTAAGACTTTAACAATCTCACTCCTACATATATATTTCAGAGAAATTTGCACACAGGTCCATAAAGGACCACAGACAAGGACGATCATGGCTGCAGTGTTTGTGGTATTGGAGAGGTGGAGGCAGCGTTGGTATCCATCACTTGGGGGACAGACGTAAAATGTGTGGATGTCCAATAGGGAATGCTATGCAACAGTCAGAAGCAATGAAGTGGGATTACAATACCAACTGCAACAGGGATAGAGCCTTAAAAAGAATATTGAGTGAAAAAAGTGGAAAATAGGATGATCTCTAAAGTCCAATGTCATTATTAAACATTAAAAACATGCACTAATAAAAATGCTATGCATTTTTGAAAAATATATCTCCAAGCACAGTAGCCTGAATGACTACAGGGCTGAGGATGAGTGGAAGGAGTAGGGATGGGGGTAAAGGGGAAAAAATAAAACAAGAGAGGGATCTTGTACCTTTCACGAACCAAGGAATTTAATGACTTCAAGCCGTTGCACCCGAAGTCTAAAGGAGGGCGAGAGGGGGAGAAGAAAGGGTCGAGAGAGGATCCCCAGATGCTAGGCGGATATTCCACGATGTGGCTCCACATACATTTTTCCAGGGTGCCTCGAGCTCTGCACCCTATTTTTCTCACCACTAGTGACTAAACTCTTGGAAGGCAGGGTTTGTGTTTTCCCTACCTTCCTTTCCCCTCCGTGTCTTGCACACAGTAGCTGCTTCATGAGGGTTGGACTCGAACTGAGATTTTTCTCGATCCTGTGACCGAGTCACTTTGTCACAGAGGGCTGAGGGTGGCTGCCGGTCCTTCCCTCATCCAGAGCCCTCTGATGCACATTTCCTTCTAAGCTTTAGTCCTCGGCTCTCCACTGCTGGATCCCAGCTCTCCCCTACTGCGCTCTCTCTCTCGGTTGCTCTTCCCATTTGCTCCATTTTCTTGGGTGTTTCCAGCTTTTATGCACACCTTGGACTCCCCTCCTCCTCTCAGAGGCACCGCCCCCTTATTTCCTTGGTCCTGCCCCATTTACGGTAATTTGCATAAGTCTCTGAGGAACCTCGCCCAGGTGCTGGCTCCTCCCCTTTCGAGCGTCCGCCGGCGCTCCTACAGGGCGTGGCGGTTGCCAGGCGACCGAAGGACGCGCCGAGCGCCGGATTTCGGCCCCCGGCGGGGGATAGAAATAACGTGGCGCCGTTTTAGACGCTGCGGGGAGTGCACGGCCCCTCCCTCACTCTCCGGCCCAGTTTCAGCGATCTCCACAGAAGCCTCTGAGGCCACCCCCAGAGAACGTCAGGATGGCCGAGGTCAGGAGTCAGCTCTCTCTACCCCTCTCGCCTCTCGCTGGACCCCTACCCATCGTCCCTCTTCTACTGTCGACTTATCCCGTCACATCCACTGATTCCGAATATTCCCCCAGTCGACATCCTGTCCCCACCGGCAGCCTCACTCTTTCCACCCTGTCCCAGTTGGCTCTGGCTCCGTTACCTCCTGTACCCTCCTTCAATTGGGTGGACACCCCCACCCCTACCCTATTTAATTGGCGCTGTGCTAAGCATGGTAGGAAATTCATGAGTTCCCAAACTCACGCATGACAGGCACCCACCCCTAGATTCTGAGCCATAAGGTGATACTACAAGAGAGATACAGAAATATTGATGCCTCACTGACCGGGGAGACCTGGAAGAAGGCTTCATACATTCCCACTGTGACCCCTATTCATTGACCCTTGTCCACCTGTCACAGTACGATTCCCTGCTGTGACAGAGGATCTTCATTAAGCTCTTCAGCCTGTCACCAATGCTCTGTGTTGTTATTGACCATTGTGTTAATATCTTGTAGGCTTCCTTCACTCCCCCAATTTGTAGTACACCCCACCTTCAGCCTCACTGATGAAGGGTCATTTCTGCAGCCCTTTAATGACCCCTTATGTGCTCATTAGCACCCTCACCGTCCTCATCTACCATGTCCTGACACAAATCCTTCATCACCTCATCAGAGCCCTCCACCATCTCCCCCATCACATGGTCAGTCCCAGCCAGGATCAGCTACATAATTTGCAGGACTCAATGAAAAATGAAAATGCAGAACCCCTTGTTAAACAATTATTAAGAATTTCAAGATGAGACAGCAGAACATTAAACCAAGGGTGGGTCCTGTCTGAGCAAGGGTCCCTGTGCAACTGCATAGGTTACATGCCCATGAAGCCAGCCCTGGTCCCAGCTTCTCTCAACCACCATATGCCCCCACCCCTATTCCAGTTGCTTCACTTGTCTCCTCTACACCATTCGCATCCTTTCATCATTCCATCTCCTCCATGTCTAGTCTCCCTTTATAAACTCCATCTTCCTGTGGTCAACAGCTGCCTCCTTTTCTTATCATACATCCCTTTCATACCCTCCATCTTCCTCACTCCATGGGCTCCATCACTGTCATCTCTCTCTTACATCCATACTACTGTGGCCACATTGCTTATCCCCATTACTCACACTCATTCCTATCTCTTTTTTTCCCATTTCCTTCTCCTGTTTCTTCTAGTTCTCCTTTATTTTTTTGTTTATTTTCTTTTGAGTATTTCCTCCTTTTCTCCCCCATTAGTCATCGTGGTTTATTTCATTCTTCTTCATTCTCCATACATAAGCCCCAGATACCAATACTATGAACTAATTGTTTCCCAGTCTCTCTTTTCTTTCATGATCTGCTCTCATTTCTTCTTTTCTTGTAATTTTCTTCTAACTTGACCTCAGCCAGGTTTTCCTCACCCCTGCTTTCACAAGTCTCCATTTCCACTCTGGCCTCATTTTTCACTGCAGCTTTCTTTTCCTTTTTCCTTTCTTTCTCCTCACTAATTGGTATTCCCAGCACCTAGAACAGTGCCTGGCAGATAGTAAACACTCAATAGATAGGTGTTGAATGAAGGAGCATCACAGTTACTCTCTGATCAGTTCATGTTGAAATCGTGCTTCTGAAATAGATACCATTATTTGCTATAACGGTACAGATACCAATTGGTTATTGGTCACAGCTAAGAGAGTATTTTTGCTTTGCTTTTAATAGTAGTGTGTATATATGTATACATATATATATATATATAATATTTTTTTTCCTGAAGAAGATTAGCTCTGAGCTAACATCCACTGCCAGTCCTCCTCTTTTTGCTGAGGAAGATTGGCCCTGAGCTAACATCTGTGCCCATCTTCCTTCATTATATATGTGGGATGCCTGCCACAGCATGGCTTACCAAGGTGTGCGTAGGTCTGCGCCCGGGATCCGAAGCGGAGTGTGTGAACTTAACTGCTGCGCCACTCGGCTGGCCCCAATAGTAGTATATTTTAAAATAACAATATGAACAAATTTCTTTTGTTCACAAAAGTTTCTTTAAAACTTTCTTTCTTTGATATTTTTCCATTCCTGTGCTAAGCGCCAGGTGAACAGGGAAAACCTGGTCTGCCAACACATCATGAGGCTGGTGATCCAGTGTTGACGTTAATACCGTTTACAGGGATAGAGCTGAGAATATTGCCCTGATAAACTTTTGTGTGCGCTCATGTTTACATCAACGAGGGGAAAGCACAGAGCAGCAGCAGCTCCATATTTCCTTAATGTGATTTTTCCTTCTTTGTGGAATTGCTATATTGTGGTCTTTGCAATAGTCTGCTTTTAGTCAGGAAGAAAGCCTCTGTTGAGTTCAACATTGGTACTAATGTTGTTATATGAAATGTTGCCGATATTCTTGTGACTCCACATCTGTTTTAAAATGTGGACTCTGTTCTGCTTGCATGTCATCTTCAGAAATTTAATCAATAATACAAATGTTTTTGAAAACCAAAAATATGTGGACTTTCTCCATATTGAGCAAGACAGGTTTGTCAAAGAAGAAGGTAAACTTGCCCAAAATCTTCAGGGTGAATTTGAATTTCACTTTATTATGGGATTAGAGATTCTCTCAGTTGATTTCTTTGATTAGCAAGACAGTTTTGATGCCAAAGCCCTTTTTAGTGTAGAATATCAAAGCATAATGTTGAAAACATAAATAAGACCTTGTCATTTCTTTGCTCCAAAGTCTTGAGTGATTCCCTGAGGTCTACAGAAGAATTCACTCCATATTCCTTAGAATGCCATTCACTGCCTCCAGTCTGTCCCTAACTCCCTGGCTAGTCTTCTCCGTCCTTTTCCTTATCATACCACTTGTACTTTAGTCAACTTGAGCTTCTTAACCAGTCTCAAATCCTGCATACTTGCTTGGCCCTGAACCTTTGCTAGGAATGCCCTTTCTCATCATATCCACCTGTGAATTTTCCACTCTCCCTTCTGGGCCTGCTCAATTGCCATTTCCTTTATGAAATTTGCTTTAATTCTTGCTGCTGGGAGCAATTGCATCTTCCTGTTGGTGCTTGTAGAACTTTGAATCCATTTTATGGCAGGTATCAAATTCTATACTTCCATTATCTGCATACATACCCCATCAGATATTAATGTATATCTTTCCTATGGGAGGGCTGCTTATTCCTTACCATGATATCTCCCACAAGCTCCATCATTCCAACTTACATATAGCAGATGTTCAATCAAAATGTGCTGAATAAATATATTAACCATAGCCATCCTATTTTATTATTGTGCTGTATCTAACAAGAAGTAGGCATGTTAGTTTGCTGGGGATCCCTAACATAGTGCCACAAACTGGGTGTCTTAAAACAGCAGAAATTTATTGTCTCATAGTTCTGGAGGCTAGAAGTCTGAAATCAAGGTGTTGGAAGGGCTATGCTCCCTCTGAGACTCTGAGTAAAATCCTTCCTTGCCTCTTCCAAGCTTCTGATGGTAGTGACCAGTCCCTAGCTTTCCTTGGCTTGCAGCTGCATCAGTCTAATCTCTGCCTCCATCTTCATATGGTGTTTTCCTGTATGTGTATCTATCTGTGTCCAAATCTCCCCACTCTTTTAAACTGAGATATAATTGGCATGTAACGTTGTATTAGTTTTAGGTATACACTGTAATGATTTGATGTATGTATATATTGCAAAGTGATTACCACAATAAGCTTAGTTAACATCATCACCACACAGTTACAATTTTTTCCTCCTTATTATGAGAATACTAGTCATTTCAGATTAGGGCCTACCCTACTCCAATTTAACTAATTAAATACGTGTAGGGGAGGAAGACGTTTCCTCTATCCAGTCTAGGTCCTTCTGGCTGGGCTACGAATTAAATTCACATGAGACAGAATAACAGGAGAAAATCAAACAAAGCTTTATAACATGTATACATGGGAGACACTCAGGAAACTGAGCAACTTGCCAAAATGGCAGAGGCTCTCATCTTAAATGCCATCCTCAGCTCAACGCAAAGGAGGATGTTGAGGATGAGGGGAGTCAGTTATGGGAGGTTACCAGAAAAGCACAGTAAACAAGAGTAAGGTTATTATGCAGATTTAAGTCCTTGCCTTCTGCATTGATAAGAGTTTCTAGAGATAAGGTCATCCCCTCTTCTTCCTGGTATGGAGAGGGAGATACCTTTACAGATGGAGATTTCCCTTACAAATGTAAATGTCTCACAAAGGGTTAAATTCTACTTTTCAGAGCTTCTCCAATGTCTGCAGTTTTTAAAAGTAACCAGCCTAAAATAATCCTCGTGCCAAAGAGACACATTTTGAGGTGGCCAGTTCCAATCCCCCACAAATGCAATGACTCTGTTTCCAAATAAGATCACATTCAGAGGGACCTGGGGTTAGGACTTTCTGGGGGACACAATTCAAACTATAACACTAGGGAAATAAGAATTCTTATATAACTAACTTCTGGGTTCTCATCTAAGTCATAAGCAGTCTTGCTTGAATTACATCTATTTGTCTGGGCTTATGTTTTTAAATAATTTGTTGCCCAGCAAATCATGGAAAGCAAGTGTGGAAAAGGCCCACGAACCTGGCACAGAGGGCATTTCAGTATATTTTTGGAGATGACCTAATCTAATTTTTTTAAGGCATAAAAATTATGGAATATCTTTTAGGAGAATATGCCATATTTCACATGGGTTTTACTGCATGTGTGATTTCATGGTATCTATACCAAGATCTCCTTATGTCTGACCTCAACGAGCGATGGCTTCTCTCTGCAGTCCTGGGGGCAGTAAGAAGCATGATGAAGTGACAAGAGATGAGGGCTTAGAATAATCGTAACAGCTATCAAAACTTATTGAGCACCTACTGTTTGCCAGGCACTTGGCTAAGTGTTTAACGTGAATTAGCCCATTTAATCTAATCCTTAACACCATGTGGTAGGAAATATTATTAGTCTAATGCATATGTATACATATATATACATGCATCAGGGGATGAACAAGGAGCCTTCCATCATATAGTCTTAAGTTTTCTGCTTGTCAGTGGCTTTTATTTTGCTTGTATGAAGGTCTTTTATTCATGGATAATAACAGCGACTCCTGAATTGTGATGGTGTACATATTGCAATGCTCGTTCCCATCCTTGCTCTTCTGTACAGGAAAAGAGTGAAAAACTAGTGATGGAAGAAACTGCATTTGAAGAAATGGAAAGGGATTTTCAGGAGGTTCTCAATGAACTTTCAGGAGACAAAAGTCTGGAGAAATTTAGGGTTGAATATGAAAAGCTTCATGCTGTCATGAAAAAGTCTTATGACAATGAAAAGCGTCTGATGGCCAAATGCAGAGAGTTAAATGCGGAGATTGTCGTTAATTCTGCGAAGGTTGCCACTGCCCTGAAGCTCTCTCAAGATGACCAGACCACCATTGCCTCCCTAAAGAAGGTCAGTGATTTATAGAAATGGAACCAATGCCCAGCTGCCATAAATGCTTCCTATATTTAAAATGTCATTCTTTCATTCCCTGGGCAGCTCTGGGCTGTAGTACAACAGTTATTAAGTAAAAATTTACATGATTTATATATTCATTAAGCCTAGGGAATAGTGTTCATTTTCAAGGAAAATAATTAGCCTGGGTGAATTTCACTATGCGGAAAATGATGTAGAACCTCACTGGCTTGGTTTCTAAGAAATACTGGCTTAGTAAAAAGAATTAGAGATAAGGAAGTGCGATATTAGGAATCTCAATATGTCTTGTTTGATGCAAGATGAGTAGTTAAATATCTCATGAGCATAGCTCATTAAAGATATTTTCATATTTCTACTTTTCCTATTGTTTTAGGAGGGATTGCCTTGAGAATTCCTAGATAGTAATTTTCAGGTTCTTTCTTCTTATCACTCCTTTCCTTGCGCTTTGATTGTCCCAGTTCCTCATAATGGGAGAACAGGGATTCAGTCTAGGGGGCCATATTGGGGAAGAATGGCTTTGTTTTATACTTTTATTTTCTCATTCTCAAGAGTGTTGCATTATTTTGAAGGTAAAACATAAATGTCCCTTGTAGATTGCAGTGTGATAAGAAGTTGACATTTTAATTTATAATTAAAAGCCTAGTGATGAGAAATAATTTACAAAATTTTGAGATAATTCCCTTGATATCATGCAATTAAACATACCCCAATTCAAATGAATTTTCAAGACCAGTGCAAAATATGATTTATCTGTTTTCTTAGAAGCGACTTTTTTTTTTAGTGTCCTTTTCTGTTGTCATTTTATTCTTCTCCTTGTTGAAAAACCAATATAAGGAGGCTTTAGTTCATTTTATGATGAGAAAAAATAAGCACTTTTTATTGTAAGTTAAAAAAACTGGAAATGGAAGTCATGAGTTGATGAAAATCTAATTGGTAAAGTTGATTTGGACAAAACTTTGTATAATCATATTTTCATTTAAATACCCTTCATTTATTTTGCTGAAAATAGTACACAGGCTCGCTACAGAAAAACATATCCCATAGCCTGACATTTTGTTTTGAATCACTAAATTATGTGATGTAGTTACCCAAGAGTAATGTAATAGCATGAATTTATTTAATTAAATACTCTCTTTCACTCATTTTATTCCTTGTCAACATAAAAGCAGAATATTTTCACTTGAAGCTTATAGGTTCTTACCTGTATAAGTGACCCACATTCCATTTAATGAAACTTTGCAAGAAAATTCAGTGGCAGGGTGAAACCCAAGGCTGTTGTAACATTTGCTGTGCTTTGTTGGTTTACTTGAATGGCTGTAATTCACTTTTAAGTATTTATGTTAATATTCTACCTTGCATTTCATAATAGTAAGGAAGCCAAGGCTGCTGTGGATTGTTTTCCCCCATAAGCATTTGATGAGAATGCCTGGGCTTGGGTTTCTGGAGATGGGAATGACCAAGGCTGTTGTGTGCAATTAGGTAACAGTGAAGACCACCTTGCTATGGATTGTTCTAAAGCTCACATTGCCATCCAGGAGCTCACATGGGACCTGAGGACAAAATGTAGTTTTTAATTGGAATCTATCAAGAATTTCAAACTTACGGCTTGGATCCAAGACCATTCCTTATGTGATAAAGCTTATTTTTTTTTCTATAAAATATCTGGACTTGGAAAGCACATAAGCTCTCATTTTTAATTTTGTAAACCTATCTTAACATCTTTATTAGAAACAATCCCACTAGTTATGGCAGCCCTTGCTGTATGTGAGCCTTATAGCCACACTCACCTACACAAGAAAAAATATCCTTTGCTGGTACCCCTCCTTAAAACTGTTGTTCAGTATTGACTGGCTCTTGTTGAACAAGTCAACAAGTCAATATAAATTTAATGCGTAATGTATAACATATAATCTTTTTTTACTCATAAACGACTACTCCACTGTAGTTGTTTTATTATTCTATTTACGCAGTTTATCTTGCATCTGGAGCCTAGTTTGGTTTTTCTCACTAATATCCCGTGGCCCATCTAGGAAATCGAAAAGGCCTGGAAGATGGTGGACTCAGCCTATGATAAAGAGCAGAAGGCAAAGGAGACGATTCTTGCCCTGAAAGAGGAGATAGTGAACCTCACCAGACTAGTTGAGCAAGGGTCTGGACTGTCAATGGACCATGACAGCAAGTAGGTCATAGCCTTCATGATGTGTGCTGAATTTGTTTTTGCAGAGGCTTCCTTCTTGAACAGACAGCCTTGGGCTTGCCAGTGTCACTTGGAACGTTCTTCATGATACCAGACTCTCCTTCTTTGGAGGTTGTTTTCTGTATATTGCTATTTTTTCTTTTTAATGCTCCTTTTCTTCTTACCCAAGAACTCCTAATTTGTGGTTATGTTAAACTTCTGGCTCTATAAGAGTGAGTGCTACAGTTTGAAGACGAGTGAAGCTTTTAGGTTTATTCCTCTCAGACTTGTGTGGACTGGAACTGGCTGCCTTTCTGCTCAGATTTCCAGGTCCTCCCATACCACCCTCCTCCACCCCATGATTAATCGCATCACCATCCTTCCTACTTCTCAGGTTCTAGGCCAGAACACAGAGCCACTCTTCACCCCTGCCACTCCTTTATCCCTTATAGCTTCACCTTGTTGCTTCAGTCTTCTAAACATCACTTTGGTCTTTTCCTCCTCCCTATCACCAGTGCTAATGCCTTGCTTCAGGCCCCTGTTCTCTGCTGGATTTGGCAGTAGACTCCTAACTGTTCTCCCTGCCTTCAAGGAGACAGCTCCCCTCATTACCATCTTTCACATACCAGATTTATGCTTCTGAAACATGTACCTACATGCTTCCATCTCCAGCATAAACACCTTCAATAGTTACCCATTCCCAAAGGATAAATCCCAATGTCTAGAACATGTCTTTCCGAGCCCTTCTTAGATCTGCCCCAGCCAGGTGTGCTAGCCTCACGTCCAGCAAAGCCATGCTTACTCATGCTTCTGTACTTTTGAACATGCTATTTTCTAAGCCAGGAATGTGTTTCTTTCCTTTCTCCATGCAGTAAACAACTCTGTATCCTTCAAGACTCATCTCAAATACCATCTTAAGTTTATCACCATCAGTGTCTCTGTTCTAACCCCCTCCCCACCCTCAGACCCAATGACCCAAGCAGAAGAGTCACTGTGTTCTCTGTTTCCATAGGATCCAAGATCTACCTGAAGTATGGCACTGACCACATTGTATTGAAGTTATTTGTTGATGTGCTTCTCTGCCCACTAGGCTGTGAACTTCTTGAAGGAAGACACCTTCACCTTCCTTCTAGGAGTCTAGCACTGTGCAGGGCATGCAATTAACTAATGAATCAGGAATGACCATATACTTTCTTAGGCATCCTTAACCAAAGTTAACTGCTGTCTAGGTTTCTTATCCTTTCTAGATGCATTCAGCCAATGGTGATGGATAGTTCTAAGTGCACGTGTTGGGAGAGGGAATAGGAAAAACAAACAGATGTGGTGTTTGTAATAACGGACTCTGTTTTCTTATTTAAAAAGTCAAGCATAATCAGAGCAACTATTGAAGAGCAAAGTGAGGGACCCCATTTGGTTAGAAGGAGTTTTAACGAGACCCGGAACATGAGGAGGAGAACTGAAGAAATAACCAGCCCAGAATTTTATCTTCGACAGCGCACTTAGGCGTAGCTATCTGTCCTCATAGTAACCTTAGAATTCAAGGTTTTGTTTCTGGAAAAGAGTTTGAAAGCAGTTTTGAAGGTTCTTTGTTAAATATTTATGTTAAAATAAATATCGTCAAGTTCCTGTGTCATTCGATGATGGTCAGTGGCAAGGGTCTCAGATGCAAGCTCTCTGCTTTCTCTGCTTTCCAGACTAATTCTGCTGCACAGGTCATATCACACATAATTTTTCTACTTTCAAAACACGAATTCTGCAGAAAGTCATTGCAAATCATATGTAATCGTTTTTGAAATGCAGAAGTAACTGGTTTACAATTCAAATCAGCAAATATTATCATGTACTCTCCAAAAACTGGCATTGTGAGTGATTTTCCAAATTTTGTTCCTGGAAACATTTTATCTGGGTTGCATCCCTTTGGGAGAAACTAATCTCCTCTCTATAGGTGAACGAATAGAACAGTGGCCATCTATATTATTTGCTTATGTTTATGCTTCATTTTAGACTTTACAGCTGTGATCCTAGCCCACCAGTGGACATATTAAATAATTTCCTAAATTGACTTCTCCTTAGGGTTAATTATCAGAGCTGACAATAGCAACATGGTCTTATTGTGACACATTCACATAACACAGAGGTGTGGAAACTAAGGAGTGAAAACCATCCCCCCAACTCTTCCACCCTAAATTCCACTTTTCAGAGATAACCAGCTACCAGTTTGGTGTCTGTTTTTCTGGACTTCTATAAAAATGTCTACAGGGGCTGGCCTGGTGGCGCAGAGGTTAAGTTCGCATGTTTTGCTTCTCGGTGGCCCGGGGTTCGCTGGTTCGGATCCTGGGTGTAGACATGGCACCGCTTGGCATGCCAAGCAGTGGTAGGTGTCCCATGTATAAAGTAGAGGAAGATGGGCATGGATGTTAGCTCAGGGCCAGTCTTCCTCAGCAAAAAGAGGAGGACTGGCAGTAGTTAGCGCAGGGCTAATCTTCCTCAAAAAAAAAAAAAGTCTATAAAACGCGTGCACATACACACACACACACACACACATACATGGACACTGTAATTTCTTAAAAATAAGAGAAGGGATCCTATTATACATATTATTATTGGAATGTCTTTTTCCGTTAACTCACAAACAGCTCCCACGTCAGGGCACAAAGATCTTTCTCTTTTACACCTGAGTAGTGTTAATCCTTGCCCTGAAGTCTTTCCCCTGAATGTGAGCTCAAGGGATGATAAGAAGGATTCTTGAGCAGATGGCCGTGTAGTCAGACTCCTGTGTTCTTCTTTTTTAGTATCCGAGATTTGCTGAAGTTCAAAGAAGAAGTGACAAAGGAGCGAGACCAGCTTTTGTCAGAAGTGGTGAAATTACGGGAGTCCTTGGCTCAGAACACGGAACAGCAGCAGGAGATGGAGCGAGCCAGAGAAGAGGCAGAGCAGACCATCAGCCAGGTTTGCTCTACGTGGAGAGGAAGAAGGAACATCACCTCCCAGCAGGACATTTTGTCCTTCCCCAGGCTGCCTTCCCATCTTGTTCCTCTCTCAGATTTACCCCCTGGTGCCCAAATGAAGCATCCACTGTTCAGCTTGTTTCTCTGGCTTATTCTTGCAAGAGCAGTTTACTTCTTGAGTCATTCTTTGTGATATTCTCTGTCTGAGAAGTCACTAAGGCAGGGCACTGTGTACAACTGTAGCCCAAGAAGGTGTCCCCCGTGAAGGCCAAGCTGCCCTGCATCTGGGGATGGTGGACATAGTTCCCCGGGCCCTTCTCCTTTGTCAGGAAGCCATCTAGCTGAACTCTTCTGAACACTTTTATATAAAGCCAGAAGTCAAATAGACAATACACAAGGGCAGTCTCCAGGAGAGAAACATGAGACTGCTTTGAACATGAGCTAAGAGAAGGACCCTTCATAGCATTTAAACATCATGGTAAAATGATGGTGCTTTGTTTAGCAATAACCAGGACTCATGTAAAACACAGTTTCAGGTTAGGGTAGCTGGCTCCGTTTAATTTAGTTTCTATTGATGGAGAATTGGATGAGTTCTTTCCATGTTTAATTCCCTAGAATTCTGGGCTTCCATATTTAATTAGATTTTTTACTATTCTTTGTGGATTTGTTCCCACCATCAAGGTGGACGTTTGGTGTCACGGCTCTGAAAAACAATACAGAATATTCTTGAAAAGTTTGACCAGTGGGGTCCAAAGATGACTGTCCTCCAGGGAAAATGCTACTACAAAGTGACTGCCCTGAAAATGAAAGATGCCAGAGAGGGAGAAGCTCGGCTGGGTCAGACCTGTCCTGGCGGGGCTTCATCTCTTTCCTCCCTGTCCTTTCTGTGCCTGTAGTTCCAACAAGAAATCCAGCAACGTCAGAATGAGGCTTCACGGGAGTCCCGGAAGAAGGAAAAATTAGAGAAAGAGCTCAGGCAGATTCAGACAGACATGGACAGCAGGCAGACGGAAATCAGGGCCCTGCAGCAGTACGTGCAGAAGAGCAAGGAGGAGCTTCAGAGGCTGGAGCAGCAGCTGAAGGAGCAGAAGGTGTGCTGGCTGGGGGCTGCCTTGTGGGTCCTCACAAATACAAGAATGGTGCCTTTGTTCACAGCCCATTAGAGCATTTTGAATTTTCTTTGGAAAGCAGCAAACTTCCTTTACTATGGGGGTTGGTAACAAACATAACACTCAGCACTGCATTTGGGTTTCGAATGGCTTTTATAGGTTGATATGCCTCCTTTTTTTTCTTTAGCTCCAATGGGTTAATTAATTTCTTTTTAACCTTTTATTGATGTATAATATACACACTGAAAAGTATACATATAGTAATTGTACGGCTTGATGAATTTTCTCCACTTGAACACGTCTTGGTCACCAGCACCCAGCGTAAGAAATAGCACCCCAGAAACCCCCTTGTGCCCCCTCCCCAGTCACTCTCTCCCTCAAAGGTCACCTCAATTCTGAATCAAAACAGAGAGTAGTTTAGCCAGTTTTTGTACATTATAGAAATGAAAGTATGTAGGAGGTACCCTTCGGTGTCTTTTGCTCCATATTCGGTTGGTGAGATTCATTTATGTTGTTGCCACGGAGTTATAGAACTGTGCTGTCTAATATGGTAGCCACTAGCCACATGTGGCTATTTAAAATTAAAAAAAATTAAAAATTCAGTTCCTCGGTTGCACTAGCACTGGCCAGTAGGTCAGTATAGGACAGTGCAGATAGAGAACATTTACATCATCGCAGGAAGTTCTATTGGACAGAGCTCAAAAGACCATTCACTGTCATTGCTCTGTAGGATTCCATTATGTGACTATAACATGATTTGTTTTACGGGTTTATTTTTAAGTTTCGAGTTTAGGAAACCATACTCAGTCTTTATACATTGGAAATATGGTACTTTTTAAAAAAAACATTTTCCCTATAATAGTGGTTTAAAGTAACACAATTAGTAATAATTCTAGTCTGTCTTTCCTAATTTCTTAAAGAAGCAATTCATATAATTGAAAAAATTGGTTTCTTGAAAATTTGTTCTCTTAGGAAGTTTCCAAAGAAGTGTCAAGCCATACAGCATTTTTCTACTTAAAAAAAGTAGATATTAGAATGTATTTCTTTGTCAGTTGCTTTATTCATTTAGTATAAAGCCGGAAATCAAATAGATAATACACATGTGCAGTATCCAGGAGAAAAGCATGAGACTTATTTGAGCATGAAATTTGAGAGGTTTTTGAACATCATGATAAAACCACAGTGCTTTGTTTAGCAATATCCAGGACTCATGTAAAATGTGATTTCATTTTTAGCAAAGCCAGCTGTATTTTATTTAGTCCCTATTGATGAGCAATTGGATGGATTGTTTCCACCTTTAACTTTTGCTTGAAGGGAAGTTATATTTTGGAGTAACTGACTAAACCATCTTCTCTCTTTTTTTCCTTCAGTCCGTTTGACATCTCTCCATCTCCCTCCATCTTCTCCTAATAGAAATGATCCCCCAAAATATAATCCTCTGTTTTTATAAAACGATGTCTGCTCAGGATGGTCAAGGCAGGGAAGAGGAAAAGCCAACTGACACTGAAGTCAGGCGGACAGAAATCATTCCACTGCTCTTCCCCGGTTTTGACTTAAGTTGGATTAAAAGGGAATTGTCTTTGTGTGGGTGTGAGTGGACAATTCTGTTCGAGAAGCTATAGTAGGCATGTTAATGCAGGATTTGCTTCTGAAGATATGGCTTCCCAGCCCCACAGCTGATAAAACCCGTTTGAATCTCTAGCTCATTTGCAATGATTATGGCAATTGTTGTGTATGCAACGCCTGCCAAATGGCAAACAGGCATTAAAATATTTATCCACCACCTGTGAACGAGACTTCCCAAGGCTCCCAGAAAAAAAGTGATGCTCTCTGTGTTATTCATTAGAAGACATCATTTTCCTCTGCCATTTAACGTTCATTATATCTAAGTGCATGAGTGCTTTCACTGGAGATAAAGAACAATTCTTACCAAGACAATAAAAGTGTGGCTGCTGTGATCGTCCCAGGAGGTTTTTGGGGCCTCCTATGTGAATATGCAGATACTGTAATCAGATTAAAAGGCATTAACCGGCTTGTTCTGCATCTTTCAGATATTGAATGAGAGAGCTGCAAAGGAGCTGGAGCAGTTTCAAATGAGAAATTCTAAACTTCAGCAAGAGAACGAACAACACAGTTTGGTTTGTGAGCAGCTATCCCAGGAAAACCAGCAGAAGGCGTTGGAGCTCAAAGTAAACACAAGTGACATATCTGTTCCCTCACACTCCCTCTTTCATCCCCCTTCAATATAGGCCGTTGTGGTTGGAGCCCTTGGTTGGATAACTTGTATGAGCATTGACACATCAGAGGCAGGCACAAGCCTACAGTATTATGCCCAGAAGCAGACAATTGAAAACTTCTATTCTTACTTATCCCAAACCTGATTATTGATCATATGATTATGCAGATGCTTTCCAAAGCAAGCTCAGATGTTCTGCTCTGTAATTTAGCTTTGCAAGTAATCAGTTGCCCAGAGCTAGAAACTATTTACATGAGTGAGTAGCAAAGAAGTTGGGCTATATTTTACTATTTGTATGGAGAAGGTGGAATGGCGGGGGTGGGAGATGGATGGATACTATTATTGGGTATCTGCTTCCAGGATTGTAGAACCATGATTTTCACTTCTGTCCAGTGAAAATTCCAAGACAGACCTCCTATTCTTGTCCCTGCCCTCACTGGAGGGTGCTTGCAAATTAAGTCTGGATAACAGTTTTATCCTTGGATACATATTGCATGCCTGCATGCTTAACAGAGCAGCTTCATGCTAACACTTGAGTTCTGAAAAATTCATAAACTCTACTCTGGTTATGTTGGAACACTGGGAATAAAACGAGTGACTGATCAAGAATAATACATAGATTTGAGCAGTGAATTATAACAGTTTTGGTGTCATAGGCCTTTTTGAGAATCTGATGAAAGTACACACATGCACACACACACACGTGCAAACACGCTTATTTGAACATCTTGTGACTTGTTTTACCTGCCGTGGAGGTTTTCTGCGATATTTTTGAAGTCTATGACCTGTGGGGCCTGAATTAATAACTATTGAATTAGAACATTGTAGAATTTAAGGGGTCTTAGCTCAACTAACTTGGACCCTACTGGGTCTGAGGCTGAGGAACTTTTAAAGCAGTTGGGAATGGTTTGACTCAAAATCAGTCTTTATAAGAATGCTGTAAGTTGAAGCAGAAATGAAACGACTACCAAAGGCAAAATAACATATTAGTCCCTAAGGTGAAATTAAAGTAAAGTACTTATGCCATTAATTCCCCCCTTAATAACACGAATGGGGCACCTTGAAAGATGGAATATTTTTGTCATCAAGTCCTGAACCTAGGGGATTCTGCTTCTAGCTATAATCTGAGGATAACACGCCCAGCTAAGTGCAGACTCTTCATTGTCAAGAACTGGGTATAACTGCTAACGTTTATTTGCAGAGGAATCACTAGCTGCTTTTACAGTAATGTCTAAGGGCAGCAAAATTTTTAAAAAAATGAATTTAATTTGAATTTAAAAAAATTCATAAAACTTGAAGTTCATAGACAAAAATCTGGTTCTTTACTTTGCTGGAATTATTATTTTGTTCCGATTTACTGCCATGTGGACTTGCCTATTACATTACTGTGTCCACCTCTCTGGATGTACAGTCATAGACTAACCTACTCCGAGGAGGGAGGACCCCAGCTCTAGTGTGTGTAATGGCTCTAAGGTGGCCATGTTGGTCCAAAAGAGTGTTTGAATATTTTATAGTATGCTCGTAACCTTTGGGAGAGATCACCTTGGGTCTATGAAAATTGCGAATCCAATATAGCATTTGTACACAAATGTCACACATTTGTGATACAGACAACTCAGCATTCTTATCTTGATTCAGCAATTCGATGGTACCTTGAGATGTCAGGTTTAATCAGTTCTTTCATTATTTTTAGCTTATATAGCCACGAATTTTATTCAGAGAACAGCATTTTTCAATTTCTCTCAAAACCCAGGCAGTGTGTGTTTAGTCCCAGAGAATGACTTTACACTGACAGAGGAGGGATTTCCTTTTATTGGTTCTGGGTTTACCATCATCCGCTCACTGGCCCTTTATTTACTGAGTGTGCCTGGTTAATTCTCTCTCACTCGTTACAGGCCAAAGAGGAAGAAGTCCATCAGATGCGCCTCGACATCGGGAAGCTCAACAAAATCAGAGAACAAATACATAAGAAATTGCACCAGATTGAGGATCAGAAGGCAGAAGTGGAACAGCACAAGGAAACTCTAAAAAATCAGATCTTGGGGTTAGAGAGAGGTAAGCCAAAACGCACTTTGTGTTTTGTCTTATTAGTTTCTAAACATTTCAACTGTGGCTAATGTCATTTGCCAACTCGGGGCTCCATGTGTACAAACACAAACTGTGTCAAATGAAATCCGGAAAACAACATTCAAACTGGTAAGTGGCTAATGTGAAAGGGACATCATTTTGAATACCTTAGACCTTCTTACCTTAAAAAATTCTTCAACAGGCTATACTGAGCCCAAAGTATTGCTCAGTATTTGTCAATGTAGTACATAATATCTACACTCTTAGGTCTGGGTTTTACATGACGTTTCAGTTCAGTTCCCTTTTTCCACAGAAGGTAGAGGATAAATTAAAGTGAATGTCCCCCATTAGTAATATTTGAGACAATATGTACCAAGAATCAGTGGGACGAAAATAAATGACTTCTAACTTCTTTTCTCTATTAGTTCTTTACCATATAGCGAACCCAGCTATCACATTGACCTGTGGAGGAAAAATTTAAGTGCCACAGGAGGCCATATAGTGCAGAAAAATCATTAAGGATACAAACTCTGGAGTCAGATCTGTCTGGAGGCAGGAACACCTCATTGACCTCATGCGGGCTGCTGTGAGTTGTGAATCACCGAATGAGATAACATGTAAAAGCATAAAAACATACATTGTCTCGCTAAAAGTTAGGTAAAATCCAAATCTCTAGATAAGATTGTTACAAATATTTGTCACGTAAGTCTTTGAGAAGTGCAGATATTTTTCCTTCTTAGATATCAGGAAATGATCTTTTATTGAGGTGCAGTGGCACTTGATGTTGACAATTTCTCCATTTATTCATTCATTCAAAAAATTGAGGGCATACTATGTGCAGGCATTACGCTGGGCACTGGGCTCACGGAGGTCCCTTCCCCCAGGATGTTTACAGTCCAGCCCGAGTTTACAGTCTAATGTCTTCAATGGCAGATATGAAGAAAAATGCAGCTACTAGAGCTTGGTTTGAAACTGGCTTAGTCACTTTCAAAACACTCCCATATTTCAATTTCTATATTTTTGCTTGCGATAGCTCTAAGCTTTGAAAAAATATACATTTATCCCTTCAGTGTTGAACCCAATTTTTCACCTTTAAATTGTGTTTACCGACATCATCATGCTGTCTCTTCACATTACTTTATAAACATCATTAACTTAACTGTTTCTTCTTAAGGATCTCTTCCTTTTGATGTGCCGCCTCAAAGAGTGGCCTTGGACATAATGGTTAGGGGCACGAGTTCTCCAGATGTCATGATTTTCTACCATAAAATCCAAGAAATGAACTGAAAAACTGCCAGAACTAATGAGAGTTCAATAGGGTGGCAGGTTGTAAAATAAATATATAGATATCAATAGCTTTCTTCCGTACAAAGAATCAGTTAGAATATATGGTGGAAAAACCCCCTTTCACAGTAGCAACTAAAGTAATAAAACATCTGTGAATAAAGTTACCCACATATCTGCAAGACCTATATATAAAAAAAGCCACAAAATTCTACTGAGAGGTATAAAGGAAGACTTGAAAAATGGAGAGAGATACCAAGTTTCTGGATGAGAAACTCAAAATGATAAGATATAAATCTCTTCAAATTAATCTATACATTTAATATTCCCAATAAAAATTTCAGTGAGTTATGTTCTTTGGGACCTGAGAACTGATTCTAGAGTTGCTCCAGAAGAATAAACAAAGAAGAATTTTATGACAATAGCCATAAAATTCTGGAAAAGAAGAGTGATGAGGGAGCGTTTGCCTTACCAGGTATTTAAATGTGTTATGAAGCTTTAATAATCAAATAATGTAGTGAAAATGCCCAAATAAACTGATCAATGGAAAAGACTGGAAAGGCCACCAAAAGACCCCAAATTATCTTCTAAGATAACGGGGTTGTTTCATACCAGTGTGCTGTATGGATTATTAAGAAAATGATAGTATGACAATAAACTACTTTTTGGGGAAAAAAGTTAACACTGAATGTAGAAACCATAAAGCCAAAATTGAGAGATTTAATGAGATAATAGCTGATTTCTTTGTATATAGCAAAAGACTCTCCGTATAAAGGCAAATTGACCAAAATATCGCAAAGAGTTAGTATCCTTGTTATCTGTGTAAAGAGTTCTTACAAATCCATAAAAAGGAAAAACAATTCATGAGGAAAATGGGCAGAGAGCAAGTGTGGGCAATTTGAAAAACAGAAATGCAAATAAACGGTTATTAAACATGAAAAGTAGTCAACTTTGCTACTAATCAAAGAAATGTAAATTAAATACGACATACGAGTTTTAAAAAATCTATCAGATTGTCAAAGATCAAAGAGAATGATAATACCCAGTGGTGGTTTGGGTGTGGATTTAAATTGCTATTAATTTTCTGGAGAGAAATTTGGCAGTAGGAGAGAAATGTCTTTTTTTTTTTTTTTAATTCCCTTTGATCCAGGACTTCCTCTGCTGTAGTAAAAAATGAACAAGAACTTTCCCAGGATTATTGCTTATAATTGCCAATAAATAAATAAATAAAATGACAGCAACTTAAATGTTAAGATAGGGGACTGACTAAATACATTATACATTTTCATATAGTGAAATATCATGGAGACATTAAAAACTCTGTTGTAGACGCACATTTATAATATGAGAGGCATTTGTTTTATGTTTGTGAATTATAAAAGCAAGCTACGAAACAGTATGCATAGAATGATTCCCTTTTGGTATATTTATATGAATGTATACATACTTATATTTATGTACACACATATATTTGCATAGGAAAACGTCTGGAAAAAGACATATCAAAATCCTGAGTAGATTCTGGTTGATTTGAATTCTTTTTCTCTTTTGTTTATTTGTATTTCTAATTTATTTCTGTATTTCTCTTATAACAAAAAAGGTTTAAGGGGCTGGCCCAGTGGTGTAGTGGTTAGGTTCATGTGCTCCTCTCCAGTGGCCCAGGGTTTGCCGGTTCAGATCCTGGACACAGACGTACATGTCGCTCATCGAGCCATGCTGTGCTGGCATCCCATGTGCAAAATAGTGGAAGATTGGCACAGATGTTAGCTGAGTGACAATCTTCCTCAAGCAAAAAGAGGAAGATTGGAAACAGATGCTAGCTCAGGGCCAATCTTCCTCACCAAAACAAATAAATAAATGAAACAAAAAGAGCAAGGACTTTTTGGAGTCAAAGAAACCTTGCTGCCAATCTCAGCCTTGTCACCTCTGGGCTGCGGACCCTTGCTTGGCATGTGGCTTACTGTCTCTAAGCCTCAGTTTCCATCTGTTTAGTGGGACAGGAAGACCTACCTCACTGGGATATAGTTGCATAGCTACAGATAAACGTATAGAGCAGTTTTGTGTCACTTTGGCTTTGACAGAGTCTCTCTTAGGTTGACTCATATTTATTGTTGTTTTTCTCCCTGGTGATATAGAGGTGGAGACTTCAAAGAAACAGGCGGAACTTGATAAGAAAGCAATGGATGAGCTTCTGCGAGAAAGGGACATATTAAATAAGGCGAGTTTGTTACAGTAACACTGGTAAATAAATGCATTTCTTTAGCGCTCTAATATCTACCTATAACCCAGTTGTACGGGGAAAGAAAACTCTGAGGCAAACAAAAGTAGATTAGAATAAATAATAGTGCTCCATTTTCCTCTGAGCTGCTGTCCACAGTCCACACTACTCACTGGCCATGAATTGAAACCGCTTTATCACCTGTGAGCACAAAGGGACTTTGGAGAATTATCACATAAACTCGCAGGGGATTTCAGAGTGTTTTGTGGATTCTGTTTTTATTGCTGGTGTGTGTGTTATTTGGCATCCTGAGCAGCTGATCAAATTGCTGAATTTAGTATCTGTAATCTGCAACTTTGGCTCATCCAGAAAATACAAGTGAGTGCTAATACAATTTTAACTTTGAGGTGTTAGGTATAGCCGTTGGTGGTATGAAAAGTCACCTTTCCTCTGTCTTCTCAGGATTGTTGCAGGTTTTGATTTTTGTTTTAGGCCCTGGTCTCTCCCAGTCTTTGAGCTCAGTAGGGTCCAAAGCTGAGGGAGTGGCTGGGGGAGCTCGAGGCCTGGGGGCCTCCATTCAAGGCAGGACCCCCACCCCCACTTCTTTCCTCTCTCACCCCTTCCAGAGGATTCTTTCCATTGACAGTCACTCTTTGGAGATTAACCACTTTCAAGGATTTAGGGTAAACATCTCTGCTGGAGGATTTCCTCCAGGTGTGGAGCGAGGGGGCTGCCTCCGTAACAGACAGCCAGATGGCTTTTGGCCAAGACAGCTTCATCTCATCAAAGGAGCAACAGCCCACATTTGTTCATTCCGACTTTTCATTGTTTCTTTAGGTTCCCCAGAATTGAACAAATGTTAACAAAATAGACTATCCTTTAACTTAAAGTAGACTATTTAGGGAATCTCAGAAAACAGTAGGTAGGAGATTAGATATCTTTATATGCTGAGCACTCCTTAAGAAAATCATTGAATTTTTTTTTTTTTTGCATAATCCTGGAATCTCTTCCTTTATTTTATAAATTCATACATGTAAACAATATTATTGCATTTAGGTTTTAAATTTATTTTTAACACATCTGTCATTTAATCCATTTAGATTTTATAGGTACTGGTAAACAACCAGTAGATTTTCCGCCACAATAGGACACACAGCACAACATGAATTTTACATGTATTTGTTTGAGTTCACCAGTGTCACTTCCTCCCTTTGGGGCAGGGCATACTTTTTTTCCTTTCTTGGCCATTGCGTCCTTAGTGCCTCGTGCAGCAGCCGACCCTCTGCAGGTATGCAATCAACCTTTATTGATAATACATTCTTTCCCTACTGACTTGAAATGCCACCTTTGTCGAATGAATGAGTGACATAGTTTTGACAGGCAGCGGTGTTAATATATTTTGGTTCTTTCAGTGTCATGTTGAAGTGGCTTTGTCTTTTATAGAGTAAATGTTTAATTCAATACTTGAAAATAAAGGTGACCTTTTCCATTTTCTACATCGTCACCCAACCAAGGCTTAATGTGCATTTTACCTGTTTATATTCCAGTGGTTTTCAGACCTGGCTGTAGGTCTGTGTTGGTTAGAGAGTTGGGAACGGGCTACAAGGTGCTTCGTGGAACCCATGGATACAGCTGGGCCTCAGGAACTGATGGGGAAACTGGCCTGCATTCTTGGGATACACAGGAAGCCCCCTCTCTTTGCCACTAGACTTCCTGCTGAGGTTTTGCTTTCTTCTTCTCTTTCAGTGAAGATTGCCTCTTTGTTTCCCAGTCCATGTGGCAGAAAAAAGCCTGTCACCAACAGCTCCCAAGATTACATCTTCTACTGAGTTGCAAAAATCTAAAGGCCCTCTTTCAAAAGTCCCTGGGAAGGGTCATTTGGTCCGTTCCGCTATGGCTAGGGAAGCGGACCCCCTTGGGAGAGCATGGCTGCCTGAGTTGAACTGCCATTGAACAACTTGAACATTGAACAAGGAACAACTTGGCTTCTTGGGTACCCAACCCAAAGCTTTCCACTTCAGCATCAGAAATCACCAGTGTAGCTTTTTAAAAAATAGTCAGTGCCTGGGTCCTATCCCAGGTCCACTGCCTCAGAATCTCTAGAGTTAGGACATGGGCACCTGCATTTTTTAAAAAACTAGATTAATTTATTTTTTATTGTGGTAAAATACACAAAAGACAAAATTTACCATTAGTGACATTTAGTACATTCATTCACAATTTTGTGCAACCATCACCACTGTCTAGTTCCAGAACATTCTCATCATTCCAAAAGGAAACCCTGTACCTGTTAAGCAGTCACTCTCCGCTCCTCACCTCCTCCCACCCCTGGCAACTGCTAATCTGCTTTCTGTTTCTATGGATTTGACCATTCTGGATATTTATATAACTGGAATCATACAATATGTGACCTTTTATGCCTGGAGTCTTTCACTCAGAATGATGTTTTCAAGCTTCAACCATGTTGTAGGATGTATCAATACTTCTTTCCTTTTTATGGCTGAATAATATTCCACTGTCTGGATATACCACATTTCTATGATCTGTTCATCAGTTGATGGACATTTGAGTTGTTTCCACCTTTTGGCTTGTGTGGATAGTGCTCCTATGAACATTCATATGCAAGTTTTTGTTTGAACACCTGTTTTCAGTTCTTTTGGGTATATACCCAAAAGTGAAATTGTTGGATCATATGTTAATTCTAGGTATCTGCACTTTTAATAAGTTGGCTTTATTTTACTTTGTAGTCAAAGTCCTATTACATGATAATATTCATTTGTTGTAACCTCACAAGAAAAAGGCTAAAGCTGGGATGGAGGTTGACTTTGGGGTTAGCCAGCCCCGGATTCAAATCCTGGCTCTGCCACTCTCCTGTTTTATGAACTTGTAGGCAAGTAGCTTGACTTCTCAGTCTCAATTTCTTACCCCTAAAATAGGAGCAATATAGTGCTCACTTCCCGGGGATGCTGTGGTCGCTCAGTGCAATTTGTATGTGTGCTTAAAGTGCCTTGTGCAAAATTAACATAACTCTTAATAAGCTGTAGAGAATATGATTATTTTTATTCATCCAAAAAACAATGCATCTAATTATTTTAGGGATGGGGCAGGAGGTAAATTTAACCCAAAATTCCCAAACATTTTAAGTAATGTGGCTGCTCTGTTGTCCTTAATTTTAGAATATGCTTAAGGCGGTCAACGCGACCCAGAAACAGATAGACCTGGTAAAGCTCCATGAACAAGCCAAGAGGAACCTGGAGGAAGAGATCCAGAACTACAGGGATGAGGCTCAGAAGCAGAGGAAGATCATCTTTCAGCTGGAGAAGGATCGAGATCGGTACATCAACGAAGCCAGCGACCTCACCCAGAAGGTAAGACGCTCCATGACAGTGTGGGTGGAGCACTGGCCTGTTCTTTCTGACTGTCACACACTGTTGCAGAAGGATTTATTCGGGTTTCAGCTTGTGGTTCTCATGAAGATTTAAGAGGAACACTGTTGACAGAATAAAAGCTGTCCCAGAGCTGATCCTGGGCCAAGTGGTGAAGCAGACAAGGCTTGTGCTTGGTGATCTGTTTCCCCTTTCTGGGCCCCTCTTCCAAATTCCGGGTTCTCCCTCTTCGCTGTTGCCCTGCCGTGCAGCATCCCGGGTTGGCCTCACCAGGGCCGTCAGCATCGTCAACTCTCAACCCTTTGTTCACACACCCTCACCTGTCACTGAAACTCTTGTCCCCTCAGAGCAAGGATTCCAACTAGGTGTTAGGAGAAGAGCACCTAATTAAATGACCTCGAGTTAAGATGTGAGTGACTACTGGCATCCACTAAATGTGTCACATATTCAGGGAGCATTTTTATTTTAAAACTATTGCAAACCTAAAACCTCACCAGTGGTGAAAATTCACACGTTGAGCAGCTGAGTTCCAGGTCTCTATTTCTTGTGAACTCACGAGGGAGAAGGCTCGAGGCAGGGTCTTTAAGAATGATTCAGGGATCTGGATGTGACATTCACCAGTCATCTTAGCACACTGCGGGCATTAAGCATGAGAGGTTAAACTAGTACCGTCTGTAGTGCATTCACAGATGGCACAGAGCAGTGGTTTCAGGATAAGGGGGTTGGGTCATGAAGAAAAGTTTTAGCTGTGAGGCTGAGAAGAGAGTTTGGGAGAAAAGATTCATTTAATGAGTTGGTTTTCTTTTTTCCCCACCAACATGTTGTCTGCTATGCAGTGTAAGCCTTCTCTTCCATCTCCTCAATGAAATCTGCAGTAAATTCTACAGTGTTTACTAAGGCTTTGCATGTTTAAGCTTTGTTTTATTTTTTGGAGTGGAATCTCAAAGAAGATGACAAAGGGGACAGCCAATATTTGAGTTATAAACATGAAGTAGGAAGCAAGCTTTTCTAATAGGAAATCAGATTCTTTCCACTTAGACTAAATAAATGCTGAGCAGATTTACAGAATATAGGTTTGGCGGAACATTAATGCATACACTCAGTCCAGTCCTGGCCGGACATGTCTTCCTTGTAGAAGATCCCCACGTGATTCTCATACCCCTGGGAATAAGGGAGATGAGGCTGTTCAGGGGCGGAGGGGTTTAACCCAGGGATGCTAGCTTCCAAGGTCCCACCTGGCCATCCTGTGAGTAGAGTGAATCAGTATTTTGGTACACACTTGTTACCCATGCAAGGCATAGCCACTGGTATACTCTGACCTATGGGACAGAGTCCATGCTCTTTGTTCTCTCTGGGAAATTTTTCCTCTCCTTCTCTGCACAGAAGACTCCTATTCATCCTTCAAGACCCAGCTCAAATGCCATCTCTGGAGTCAAACCTACTCTGACTCCCTAGGCAGAGCTAGTTACTTCCCACCTTATGGATTTGTCGAGATCTCTGGAATGGTGCTTATCATCCGTTAGTGTAATTATTTATTTGTACATTTGTTTTCCCTACTTTACGGTAAACTCTTGGGAGCGAGGACTTTATCTCATTCATTCTTTATCTCCAGCATTCTAGTAAATGGTAGGCAGCAAAACAATGTTTGTTAAGCAAGTGGATAGATGATGAGTGATAAAAAGAATTCTGCCACTGATTTTAATATAAGATTCTACATTTTTCTCTGCTTCATTGTAAAGGAGAGATACTGGTGCCAAATTTTGCTGTGAACTGTTTTTCACAATTTCTGGTATTTAACTGCACAAGGTTATATAATGTCTCGCCTAAATAATTTAAGCAGAAGTTCTTAAAAAATTATTTATCAGCTACAGTTTTTCTATCTCTTACTTAACCCCTGATAGCACATATCAGTTGCTATAGCAACTTGTGTCATCTCTGGACTTCTTATCTTCTTATTAAGGACATGTATATCTTTTTGCCCCCTCCCCATAGTTCTTTCTTTACTGTCACACACACCCCTCTCACTCCCACAAACAGAAGGTTCCTTTTCATGCATTCTATTTATAGGGAGCTGAGGAACAATATTAAAGGCTGGGGAAGACGTTTTTATCTACTTCTAAAGTGAGTACATATTGTTTCAAGTTCATCCTTTTCACTGGACGATTTCTTTTGTAAAAACCCAGTCTATGGATAAATAAGAAACGCAAAGGTTTTTATGAAACAATATTCTTCAAAATAAGTTGTGCTCCATTTATTTGATACAATATAATTACCCATTAAAATTAGATGTTTGAAAAATATTTTTAAAACTGGGGAACATGTTCACAACATGAATCTGATCAAAACAGAATGCAAAATTATTTATATGGGTTGACTCCAGCTTTGTCTGTGTGCATAGGGAAAGGATTGGAGTCATCGTCATGGGATGACTGTGAGGATTAAATGAGGTATTATTTGTGAAGTATTTGGAATAATCTTTGGTGCACAGTAAATGCTTGCAAATGTTTCACAAACAAACAAACAAACAAGTTTGTTGACAAATAGTCCAGAGTTTTTCCTCAAAGTGGCATTTGAACGTAGCTGTTCTCAACTTCTTGTTACCTGTCAATAAGGTGCAGACGTAGATGAAAACTTGTAACAGTGTCAAACACTAAGGCTGACATAAAGCCTGATGCTAAAATAGAAAAGAAAGTGGATAAGAATTTTAAAGCCAGCAGAGGTGAATTGAGAAGACCTACCTGGACCTCCATGGTCCCTTGAATTTGCTTCACAAAAGAGACTACCTGAGAAGAAGAGAAAGATGCTTTAAAACTCTTCCCCATCTCTTTTCTGACTCAGGGTCTGTACCACGCAAGAACTGACGAGGTGTCACTCTACCTTTCTCCTGGTCAACTGTTTCTGCCCAGCTAGTTGGGAAAATACAGCAAACCCAGAGAGCAAATGGGCAGGCAGGGGGAGACCTGGTTGTGGCCCAGTGCATTCTGAGGACGGTGACTTAGGGGTGTGACAGGGCAGAGAGAATCACCCCCAGAAGTGGGGCATACTAGGATGACAGTTTTCCGTAGGCTACATCAGCTCAGAGTGACAGGGAATAGGCCTTTGGGCCCAGGGCTCCACAATATCCTTAAACGAGGGTGTACTAGAGATTGGGAGACGGACGGGGCTCTGCACATCACTGTGCTTCCAGTTGTAGATTTGAAAGTAGCTTCTGCTGCCATCTTGGGGTGCTAAGACTTGGACACACCTTAGTAGTACTGTTCCTAGGTTGCAATAAAACCCACCTTGCTCAAGGATGAATAAGGAAAAAAGCAGCTTAATGGGGCCTACAGAAAAAATATGCCTTAGAACCAGAGAAGGAGAACAGCCCCTGAGAATCCCAGGGTAAAAGCCTGGCTCTGGAAATTCATCTATAGTGAGATATTTAGGTTGAAGCCTTTGAAATAGCCAATTTTGTAACTAAAAGACAGTTGACTCTCAGTGATTTCCTAAGGTTCAACCTAATTGAAGAAAATGCAGAGAAAAGGGTTGGCTTCCTTCAAAGAGTGTAAATACACAAACCCAGTGCCAGGTTTCCTCTAGTGGAAAGAACAGTCTTTGTTGAGCAAATTGCCTTGAGACTTGCATTGGTTTGAAAGGTGAGGCCCAGTGAACCAGAGTGAAACAAAGTGAGGTAAGAAAAGTAACAGAAATTGGCAAGGGAAAGGACGTGTGGTGAGCTGGAGATTCGGGGGAGATGTGAAAGGACGAGAAGACAGCAGAGACACCAACATCAAGGCAGCAGGCTGGGCTCTTCTGGAGGAGATGACCAGTGAGGAGTTCCCAGAGGCAGAAATGACTGAGGAGGGATTGCTAAGAACAAGCATGTGCAATATTTGATTTTAAATTCTTCACTGTGCTCTGTGCCTCAAACCTTCAGTGACAGTCTGCTGCATCAACCTTGAGGCTGGATTGCACCTTGCAGGGGTAGCAATGGCGTGGTGAGGGGTGTCAGGTAATATATCCTAGAAAAGGAACAGTAGGTCCAAGAGACAAGATGCCAACTGAGAATCCAGAATTCCATGGAACAGGAAATCACAGCCACAATAAGCAGGAGAAATATAATTCCTCCCAGAGTTCTTGATGATATTAGGTGGGACGTTGGGTTTCCTAGCACACAGAATTGGGATTCCAGACTTTTTGTTGTTGTTTTTTTGTTGTTGTTAAGGGTAGGGTGACCCCAGTAGGATCTAGGACTATCATCTGGATTATAAGTCCAAAATGACGTTACCTCTAGGGTAAAGCAAAGATGAAATAAAAAGGAAGGGATGGATGAATTAAGGAACCACTGTAGAGACTAGAAAACAAACAAAACGAAAACAAACAATGGTAGATATAAAATCCACGCTGAAGTTAGTGAAGAACAGACCTGATGTTGCAGAGAATGGACCCAGAGGAGTGCAAACTTGGAATTCTCTTAGAACGCAGAAGAAAAAAATTAAAGATAAAAGTTATCAAAGAGGAGATAAGAGATAAGAAGGACAAGGAAGAGAAACCAGCCTACAGACAGTTGGTCTCTGAGGGTGGAGCTGAGCCGCAAATCAAAGACATAATGGGAAGATGTTTTCTGAAGATGAAAGAATTGTGCATGTGGACTGACCGTGTTCCAGGCAAAGTCAGTGACAGGAGACTCTCATATATGACTCGCTCTGAAAGAAAGATTGTGTGTGTGTGTGTGTGTGTGTGTATTGTTTTACCTACAATGATGAAGAAAAGTAATCCGTGAGAATTAGGCAAGAAGAAACAGAAGCCTAGTTGCTTTTTTTTTTTTTTAAGAGGAGCAAAAGTAGAAGGAAATATACCAATATATTATAGCGGTTTTCTCTGAGTGGTAGAGATACAAATTGCTTTCATTTCCTCCTTTTGTACTTTTTGTATTTTTCAAATTTTCTAAAGTGAATATGTATTACTTTAGTATCCTGATTAAAAAAATAAAGAAAAAATATTAATAAAACCTTGCCCTTCCTTCAAGGGCCAAATAAAAGTCCACTTTTCCCAAGGACATTTATTAAAAGTGATCCCTAACCCTCTCTGCTTGGTTCCGTTCTCTGAAAGTTGAGAAAATCCTGTGTTAACTTACTGTTATTTGCACGTCTGCCTCATTCTACTCACGAGCTCCTTGAGGGCAGGTCTTATTCAATCTTCAGCTCTTTGTATTACTTATTTCCTAAATAGGTCTTCAAATATTTTTTGAAAGAATGAATGGAAAGCACATTAGACAATTGGATTAGGTAGAAAAAGACTTACTTTTAGGTATCTATATTAAATTCTTCTTCCTTAACATATTTATGGCTAGGGTGTGCCCTCCCTTTAAATTAATTTGAAACTTGTTGCCATAACAGACAATCTTACCTGAATTATCCTTGGCCAGTTTAGCTGTGAGTGACTTGTGGCATGGTCTCTTTTTCCTTCTGGGAAGCAAGAACATTCAACATTTGCCTTTTGATTCTTTCTGTTTAGAGAAAGAAAGGTGAAATCTAAGATACCACAAGCCCTACAGTACATTTTAATTTACCTTGGCATTTGCAAGTGAGAAAAAAAGAGGATCCCCTTCTGTGCCAGAATTGGATGGCTCAGAATCCCAAACCTTTTGTTTTGTGTTTGTCTCAGTCAACACTTGCCATAATAATGCTGCATAATACACAGCCACAAAATCTCACTGGCTTGCAAAAATAAGGGCTTATTTCTCACTCACACACCCGCAGTTGACTGGAGGTCAGCTGATCTAGGCTGTGCCTGGCTCAGGGCTGTGAGGTGGGTCCAGTTCTGCTCTACTTGTTTCTCATCCTCCATGATGGGTGTTATTCTCACAGAGAAAGGAAGGGGTGCGAAGGTCAAACCCAACCGCACAAGCACGTTTCATGATTCTCTGCTTGCCTAACGTTCTCTGACGTCCCATTGGCTATAGCAAGTCACATGTCCAAGCCCGACCTCAACAGCAAGGGGAAATAGGCTCCTCCCACGAGGTGCTGGGGACGCTGGGAGAGAGGGAATATTTCTTGAGCCATAGGATAGTCTTTTACAGGGTTTCAGCATTTTTTAATCCTCATGGTTTTTCTTCTGCTGCGCTCTAAATTTTACTATTCAGATAAATTGAGAGGTGCCAGGAATGGCATTATAAATTGTGGTTCACCATATTTTCTCTTTTCTGAAGTTTTACTAATTTTAGGTAAAACCATTTCTAGTTAATTATTAAATCTGAGCAACATTTTGCATGTTCCACACTTGGCTCATTTTAGGACCCCTACTTTTTCATTCTAAACATTAAACTTCTGGCTGTCGCCTCTCAGACATTTTATATGCCAAAAAGCATTTGTTCACAGTGGATCTTTGCCTGGAAGTTGCTAAGCTCTCTGCTTCTTTGCCTATAACAGTGTCAAGCAAAGCTCTTCTAGACAGAGGTTCCAAGAAATGAATAATAATGTGCTTTCAAGGGCTTAGAAATAAGTGAGGAAAGCAATAGTTGATCAAAGAAATATTCTCTGAATAGGTATCTTCACAATGAAGTAAAGCTCCTGTTTCTTTGATATTAATTTGAGGTTTTCTCCAGAGCATCCTTACTAGGGTAGAACCCTAGAGAGGGGCTTCAAGGGGACATATACAAATTATAAGCATTTTGTGTTATAATAACAGAAGTGTACTGTAGACCACTATTTTCTTGTAGAACAGAATTTGTTCCATAGAAAAATCAAATTGACTTGTTGAGTACTCATATTATATAATATGATATACCCATCATGATAATCTTTAACATTTTTTAAATGATGAAATTACTATATGCTAGGTACTTACATGATGGCACAAATATATATTTTTCTTAAATCCTCATAATAACCCTCTGAGTTAGATATCATTACATCCCTCATTTTATAATATAATGTAATATGTCATTAAACAACAGATAGAAACATAGATATGCCTCCCTAAATTTAACATAGAGGATAAAATAAGAAAGCAGGAAAAACAGAGAAGACTTAAAATTTCACAAGCCTGGGTACATAGGTGTTTTTGTTGTTGTTGCTGTTTCCAGAAAGTGAGTTTCTCGGTTACCTTATGAAGGTAAAGGCACTGTCAGCATTCAAACCATTGACGTTGAGTCAAAAGAACTTAGTTGAGAGGTTTATTGTACTAATATTTCATCAAATGCCAGTTAAGGGGTTTCCAATTCAGTGACCTACTTTCTGATCCTGCCCCAGTCTATATGATGTTTTGACTATGCTGCAGATCTCCAGCATGCGTTATTGATTTCCATCTCATTCTTATCTCTATTGGCAGGTTGTTTTAACAGGAAAATGAAAGGCAGGAGTAAGTTATAGACTGGGCCTGTGCCCTCAGAGTGCAACATAAGCGTTTTCTGGGCTCCTCTGAAGCGGGCCTCCAAATGCTAGCAGCTCCAACTCTCTGGCTGTAATAAAACTTCCAGTATTTGAGTGTGATTTATCTCAGGAGTTGGTTTGAGGTATCTAAAGGGTAATCAATTAGTTAAGCTCCAGCCTCACATTCTCTGATATACTATTTTTAGCAGGGGACATTTTGCTGATGAGAAGTTTCACTCCTACTTAACACCCCACACATTCTAGGAATTTTCAGGATTGGAATTTCTATGTGACATTAGTTTGAATGATTTCCATCAAAACAAATTCTGAGTCCCAACACTTAGAACTAAATTGCTTTGTAAATTGTCTTTTCCTTTAGTTTTAATACTTTTTTTCTCATTGTCATTTAACTGAAATACCTTTGATGTTTTTGGTATCCTGATGGGTTCTTGATTACTCCCAGCTTCAAGAATCTGGAAGCAAGTTTATGATTTTGTGCACGGTTGTGTGCAGAAAGATGGACCCTGCCAGTTGGATGTCCAAAAAAGAAATGCCTTTGGCTGCATCCTTTCTCTGGAGCATTATTCTGCCTGTGCAAAGGATTATTCTCGTTATAACATCTCTCCAAGTGATTGAACAAGCAATTTTTTTCTTTTCTCTGATGTGCTGCTTGATAGTCTGAATGTGGATGTTGCTGTTCAGAGTATTTTCAATCCATTTGTTTCACTGACCCCAAAGAAGGTGACATCATGGCTAAATTTGAAAGGCTAAATTTTAGGCTAAGATAGTGCCATTCTTTTTTTAAAAAAATCAAGCAACTACAGGGGCCAGCCCGGTGGCGTAGTGGTTAAGTTCACACTCTGCTTCGGTGGCCCGGGGTTCACCGGTTCGGATCCTGGGCGCAGACCTACACACCGCTTGTCAAGCCATGCTGTGGCGGCATCCCACTTAGAAGAACTAGAAGGACTTAGAACTAGCATATACAACTATGTACTGGGGCTTTGGGGAGGAAAAAAAAAGAGGAAGATTGGCAACAGATGTTAGCTCAGGGCCAATCTTCCTCACCAAAAAGCATACCTTTAAAAACAAAAACAAAAGCAAAAACAAATCAAGCAAATAACAGATCCAGTAATGGATACTTTATTTAGGTTTCACATTTATTCCTAACCTATGTATTTTAGTTACCAGTGGTGGTATCTTAAAAAGCTGCCTGTTACACATTTTTAAGGATTCTAAAGATATAAATCAAAGAAATGATGGAAGACGGAACAGGATTTCTTTTCATTTCAGATCTATCCACATGCCTCTTTCGCAGACCTCCTGCCTCAGATTTTCTAACTTTGTTCTTTCCAGGCCCCCAACCGAACATCCAAACCATTTACCACCGAGTCTGTATATATTCCTACCTTGGGCCTTGTATGCATTCCTTCATTATCCATTTCATGGGGAGTCGCTCTCTAGAGGGGAACTTGAGGGTAGGGCATGCGTCTTATTCTTTACGTCACTGGTGCTCTTCCAGTGCCTGCCAGAGATGGGTCCTCAACACATGTTTACAGAGTGAATGAATAAATGGGTGAGGGAATGAATGAGTGAACCGAAAGATACTCTGTTCACTTTGTGAAACTAGCAGAAACCTTGATATTAAAATAGAACCAAAAAGAAAGTTATAGACATAGAGCTCTTATGAATATGTATGCAGAATCCTAAATGAAATTCTGGCAAACCAAATTCAACACAACATTAAAAGAATCATCCAGTATGACCAAGGAGGGTTTCTTTTGAAACTGGAAGGATAGTTTTCAATTAAGAAAACTGTTGCTGGCAGTATGGAGACATGAAGTGTTACAGCCATTTTGGAAAGCAATCCAATATTATCTATTGAAGTTAAAAATATATACATTTTTTGAGGCAGATACTCCGCTCCTGGGAATCCATCCCATAGAAGTAAAACTCAGGTGCGTGAGGACACGTCTACAAAAATGTTTGTTGCAGCCTGGTTCAGAGTGGCAAAAAAGTGGACACCAAGTTAGTGCCTGTCAGAGGGGAAGAGCAGAGGATATGATGGCACACCCACACTGTAGGTTGTTATACCATCTTTAAAGAGAATGGGTTAGAGCTACCTCACATGATCCCCACGAAGTGTTAGTGAGTGATAAAAAGCAAGGAGCATAAAACCATTTTTCCATGTTTTCCAAAAAACAAAACCTGAAAAAGCAAAATAAAAGAAAACAAACGAATCTCTGTATCGGCATATTTCCTAGTTCAATAGCTATGAATGATATGACTTCTTTTGAACTTCTGTTTCCTTCTTTGTAAAATTCAGGCAGTAATAACACACATCTCATAGGATTTTTGTGAGGATTAAATGAGTTACATGTGTAAAATGCCTTGTACATAGAAAGTACTGGAGAAATATTAGTGATTATTGACAAATAAAAATGGCAAGCAATAGGATATATTGGAGTATATGAGGAAGCCATTTGGTATAAACCTAATTCGGCCTGACTTTTTTTTCCAAAAGGGCCTGACTGTGGCTATTGAGCACGCATTGCATATCTGCTTAGACATTTCCTAGGGCCAGAACAAAGGCCCTTGAGATAAAGGTGCAACTTCCCCCCACATTAGCATTTCCTTAGGGATAAGCATTTTTCCTTAGGCTAGGAACTGATTGCTGCACTCACCTCCCAGCTCACCTGTGACCACCCAGCTGGAGACAACAGACTGCCACCCTGCTGTGTTCACAGAGACAGAAGACCTACCTGCTATTTCCATCAATCGCTGTGCCGACAGAGCAGTCTCGCGACTATTGTAAAAGGGACATTTCAATCCTATGTGAAACATCCTCTTTGAGGGTATATAACCACCCTTATACCCTCACTTCTTTGGAGTGCTCTGTTCCTTTGTGGAAAGACTCTCCCGGGTTATAATCCTCAGATTTAAGCTCAGAATAAACTCACCCAAATTTTCATTTATAGATTGGATATGGATTATTTTCGTCGACATTATTATGATGATGATGTTAGTAGACCTTAATAGAATATGCAGAATTCAAAGAAAAATATGAAAGAACTCATACTAGATTGTTAACCTGGTTACTTTATGTGTTGTTGAGGGGCTGATGTGGGTTGAAGGGAGATGGAAAGTCCAAGTAAATAAGGAAGAGAAAATAAATGTATATTTCACATTTATGCATTTATTTACAATTATGGTATGTGGGACTATGTATAAAGAAATAAAATTAAAATACTTGTAAAAGGAAACTTTAATTACTAATTATATCAAATCGATAGACCCACTAAGAAAAAATAGTACAAAATAATACATGCTGAAAAGGCATTTACTAAAATTTAATCCCGTCCTTCCTTAAGTATAAGTCTAAGAAAACCTTGAGAGGTGTTTATTTAAAGATATAAAGGATAAATATATTAAACACCAGCCATCATTAACTCTGATGGGAAAACATTAGAACAAGGTTTCTCCAAGTGTACTTTCCAGAATACTAATTCCACAAGGAGAATAAAAGGATTCTGTAGGGCAACGTTTGGGAATGTGTTGCTTACGGGTAGCCCGCACCTGGGTCACAGTGAGTATCACCAGGGTAAAGGTCTCAGTACTTTTTGACCTTTAGGTTCTAGGGAAAATGCCTCTTCTTCAGGGAACATTCCATGGCCCTGTTACTTCAAGTACATCCACTTCCTTCCATTCTCTGTCACATTGCTCTGTTTATTTCCTTCAATTGTAACCATTAATTAAGAGAACCCCGCTGAAATCTTAAGAAATTTCTCCTTACGTGTTCTAGCTGTTGTTTAGACCATAGTCCCATTGATCTAATCAGACTTCCTTGATAAAATTTGTCTTCTTAAGGAATTTCCGTGGCCATTGCAGCTCAGAGGCGTGTTTACGTGATTTCTACTGTATGGATTGCTTGCTGAGAGGTCTTGGCCCACGGTGGAATTTCGTGCCTTGGTTTTTCGTACTTGCTAAAAGGAGGCAGTTATTCTTGCATCTCATCTTTCCCGGAAGTGTTTTGTGCACAATAGAATGCATTTTTATGAAGTCCTTTGAGTTTCCCTCATGGAGTGAGTTTGACACTGGCAAGATAGCATTATGATCGCTATCAACGTTCAAAGGCCACTTTTCTTTCTTGTGGTTAACTTGATAAAGTCTCGAGTGTGGCCAAACAGCTAAGCTGTCTCTTATCTTTCTTAGCGCTCAGTGTCAAGATCTGTTTAAGCCTGTGCCTTTTTTTTCCTCCTTTTTTGGTGAGTGGGGTGGTCAGGAGAGGTTTTTAGAATTGAAAGAATTTCTTTCTTTTTTTTCTTTCTTGTGATCACAAAATAACTGTGCTAAGCCTTTGTGCTTGAACAGAACTCAGGTACAGATAGAATTGTACGTTGGCCCCTAATCAGCGAGGCTGAATTCCTGTGCTATTGCACAGTGATTATAGTCACAGTCAGATTTCCTGATTGCTAGCATTTCTACTAGCTACCCTTAGATAAGAATCTCTGTTTGTCCTGAACCGAAAACCACAGGTGGGTTATTTAACCACCTTCGTATCCTTCTTTCTCCTCCAGGTCCTCCTGAACATGGAAGACATAAAAGTCCGTGAAATGCAGATTTTTGACTACAGGAAAAAAATCGCCGAATCGGAGACTAAATTAAAACAGCAACAGAACCTGTATGAAGCTGTCAGGTCAGACAGGAATCTGTACAGCAAAAATCTGGTTGAGGCTCAGGTAAAGAATATATTTACGTCTTTCCATTGTGATTCCTCCCCATCCTGGGTTAAAAGCAGCGTCTGTTATCCTAATGGCAGAATTTAGAATAGATCAAGAAAGAAATCACATGGACTTCACCTGAAAGAGAAGATCAATTTATACAGAACTATCAGAGTGTTTGAAATGGAAATGGCACAACTTGATAGGATGTGAAGATCATGGTGCTGCTTTTGATTATTATGTAGAATTGCCATTCTCCTGTTTCTGATTTTTAAAACTGCTAATAGTTACCATGACTCAGAGGGGAGCAGCATATTCTTGTCATTTAATTGCAGAGCTTTGCTTTGTAACCTTTTAGTTGGAATATTTGTCACAACAAATTCCTCTCTTGTGAAATGAGGGATAAAGTGTGTGTGTGTATGTGCATGTGTATGTACACGGCATATTCATTATGCATACTTTGTGTATCTCTCCTGAGAATATTTTGAGAGTTAATGCTCTAAGGTACTTTGAGGTTGATGGGCACAAGATACAAAGGAATAGCCCAGTTGTAACTGGTCTGGAGACCACCGTTTTGAGAGAGTCTCTCAAAAGTTCTTGACTGTGTATCGAACTTCCATAGGTATGGTGATTTCTATTGAATTCACTTTCAAACATTTCTCCTTTCATTTTGTTAGGATGAAGTGACAGAAATGAAGAGAAAATTAAAGATTATGACCCATCAGGTAGATCAGCTGAAAGAAGAGATCTCTGCCAAAGAGTCGGCACTTGTGAAGCTGCATCTGGAACAGCAGCGCATAGAAAAGGAGAAGGAAACCTTGAAGGTACAGATCTTACGAGAAAAGCGAGGGACCAACACTCTATCTATTCCATCCCCTTGAGGCAGGCTCCACCCTCACTGAAGGCAGCAAGGGGCAGGGAGAACACAAGACACGGGGACAATGAGCTCTGGCCCCTCTGGGTCACTTCCTTACGAGGAATGCTCCCAGGTGGAACGGAGAGGAGGCCTGGAGATGCACAAGCACTTAGTTCTCCTGTGTCGGCTAACATCACGTCAGCGGAAGAGGAGCTGGCAGGTCGGCAGTGCCCCACAAGTCCTGGAGCTTGCAGGCTCACTACAGTCTCTTTCAATTCACAACCCACGTCCAGCCCCTGTGCCCACACCCAACCTTCCCAGACTCCTCCCGGGGCCTTCCATAAGGGAATGCTGGCAAGACTCTTTGTCTCTCTGTCCTAATCATTGTTTATGTCACATGCACATGTCTTTTCTGCCTACAGTATCATTAACCACTAGGTGTCAAGCCTTGTCCTCACTTGATTTGCCCTCAACGGGGTTCCTAGTTCACCTTATCTCTGTGGGTCTGAGAAATTTGCAGCCACTCCTCCGGGGAACCCCGTCTGTCTTCACCTATATTAGTATGACATAGCCTTTTAAATTTACTAATTTAGAACATTCTGTGTCTACTGATATAAAGACCCTGTCCAATAGTACATACCAAATAATTATATCATTTCAAATCCTCAAACCAGATATGTTTTACTGTACGCATTCACTAAACCAAATGTATTTTCTTCTTCCCGTCCAATTGAATAGATTTCCCTTCTAATCCATTTGACCAAAGAATTAAAAAAGGAACTTCTAAGAGAATGATGCCACTTTTATTTTGAAAATATATATGCAGAATAGACATGGTTGTTTATGAGCCACTTACAGGGGCTAACTACAACAAATGAGAGCCTGGGGACCTTGGTTTCTGCACATTTTAGCTTTCAAAGATAGTTCCTATCTTGAAAATGTGTATCTAGTGTTGAACAGAGTTAATGCCATATTTCCTTGATTCCAAGATGCCCTAGGTTGAAATGTGCACTCTCAGTACTGGGTGTTATCAACTTAATGATAGGTCTTCATGGAAATAGAACTACAGTATTAAATTAACTTACAGCACGTTGAGTTTGAGAAAGATTAAAACGTAACAAAGGTTCCTTTACAAAAAAGATATGGCAATTAATGTATTTACCTGTCTGAGAATTTCATCTTCCCACTCCAGCTTATGACAGAAAATTCTGCATTAAAATTTATGTACCTATAAAGAAACATAATTATATTTTCTAAAATTTGAAAATATGCTACATCTTTGTCCTTATTCTCATTGTTTGTAGCATAGTTTTGTAGAACTAGCTTGTTCCACCCTGCAACGTGAAGTGGGATGGGGTTTATTTATCACTGAGTGAATTAGAAGAATCTTACTATAAACATTGCTTCACGCATGAGCCTCGAGGACCCATGTTAGCAAGGCTTCAGTGTAACTCGATATGGTACATCATCTCTCCTTTTAGAGGATGACATTGATCCTCATCTCTTACTTTCTCAGGTAATGCTCTAGTCAAAAAATTAATTATTACCCCATAATGGGGTCCAAGATGAAAGTAACTGCCTTCTACAAAACCTTGCTTTAGAATAAGCAATGTCCTATGCAAAAGAGCAATTATTCCTAATTCTTTAGAGTTCACTTTGGCTCATTTTTGTTTCACTTATGCCCTCCATCATCAGCTATCTCTCTATATAAGCTCCAAAGAGTCATCATAGTAAAGTAAAATAAAGGGCAATGGGGCCCTGTTTTTTGGTCCTGGGCCAGCAGAGTTGGCAGCTGGTGGACATAAAAGATGATTAAAGGGCTTCTGCTCTGGACAGTCTGCCCCAAATGGGGAATCCTAGGTCTGGATAGCTTTGGGTCATCGATTATAGGAAGATGATTGCTTTGGACTTGCTGTGAAACTAGGATGCCTTTTCCCCCAGCATTTCGTATTAAGGCAAGAATGAGGAACAGAGAAAGGATGCCAGCTTGATTTCTTATTTGAGGTTATCCAAGGGTAACTTGCACTGGTGCTTCGACTGGATAATTTTGGCCTATCATTATGCCCATTGACATTCTTTAGAAAAATATGGCAGCTCAAATGTTGAGTTTCAGCCTCTTGACTTTTTTAGCCTCAAATTTGAATCACATTCCATGGAGGTCTGTGTATTTCATGCATCTGAAGTTTGCAAACCAAAACTCTGAAGGAAAGTGCAGATCCTAGTAACTTTGCTCCAAGAGACATTTAGATTATTATTATGAGTTCTACAAAGATTTGTGGGTACGTCATCCCTCCTGGAAGAGGGATTCCCTAGCCTGTTTGGGAGACGGCGAGATGTCTTTTGAAAGGACAACCCAATTTGCTACTTCTCCAAGCCAGCAGACAAACAGTTGTTCATAATGGATCATCCCCATCCTCATTCATCCCCCTCAAAAGAAAAATCTTGCTCCCTCCATGTTTCTTTCCTTTTCCGGTTGCTACCATGCTCTGCTGACTCCTCAGGATTCTAAACATTGTCAGCACGTTGCGGTTATGACAGAATGTCAATAGTTCTCTGTAGATGTTGCTGCATCTGCGTTCATCTGCCCGTCCTGTCCAAGTCTTGTTTCATTAGCGCTGAAGGAGCCATCTCATTTGGAGCGTCTGCCTTCCAGTCCTAACAGTTCTGTCTCATCACCTCCCAATCATCCCACATGAGTCTGACAGCACTTTGATTTTAGGTGAATAATTCAGTAGCCAATTCTCTGTATCCAGAGCTCAGTGTCACATTAGCGACTGGCTTCAGAGCTCTATATCCTTTTACTTAGTTGGCTTTCTAGAATGACATGGATGGGAACTGTCAGGGAGAGATAGAGAGAGAGATGAGATAGAGAGAGAGAGAGAGAGAGAACCTAGTTATTCTTGTGGCTGGAAGGCTTCAGGTAGTCCTGTTGGTTTTGCTAGATGTAAACAGATGGCTTTGGTGAAACCCCATGAATGTCAGGATCATGTGTGAACAGGTGAAACTTCCAGAAGTGTGGCTATTGAGATATGATTTATGCTCACAGCCAAATTAGATGATAACCATAAACATCTACGACAAAACTGTATAATTGTGGAGGCAGTGACTAAAGAATGCGTCCTGCCATCGTATTACAACTTCATACCGCCAGGAACACTTCGAGAGATGCCCATCCCTCAGGCCCCACCTAGAACACTGCTTGATGGGCTTTTGGGTGCACAGCAGTTGTTACCATCTATCCTGGGTGAGACAGCTCAGGTTTATAGCTGCTAAATGCATTAGACCCAAGGTATTTTGTTGATATTAACATTTGCTGCCAATGTCTAATGCCACATCTTGTTTACAGCCCATAAATTTATGACATAAGGAGACCACTCAGAATTTTGATATATTATGGAAAAAACACCCAGCAATGCCAAACGCACGAATGGTTTTACATTTCCGACAGATGCTTTTACACACCGTTGGTTGCATTTTAATATAACAGGGGTTTCATTTTGTTCTGCTGCTGGATTCTGATCAGCTCTTGGCACTTAGGAACAGGGACGTGAATGTTGCACATCTGGGAAAATAAAAGTTTTATTAAAGAAAGCATGAGCTAAACAGATATTTTATTGCTGTCTTCACTGTTACCTTAAATGATTATAGAATTAGAAAGGCTGGTTCTTTGCTCTCTTTCCTAACAGGCAATCCCCCAAAGTAGTAAATATGAGACTAGATCTTTCCTCAATAACTATTTCCTTTTGCTTTTTCCTGGACAAAAATATATTTTACGAATGAACAAACAAAATGCCATAAAAGAAACCCTTGGTTTTTGGTAGCTGGCTGCATTTAGTGTGTGACATTACATGTCTGTTACTAGGTGTATAGTGTCTTCTACTGTTTGGGTAAGTTGGAGGTATAGAATTAATGACTCGTGCTTCTCATGGAACAGAGGCACACTCTGACCCTGAGTTGGGTTATTTCATAGGCACTTGTGAATACGGGGTTTTCTATCATTCCAGTGACATTTCTGGGTGGGTGAAGGTGGCAGTTCCAATAATTCCTTGAAGGAAAAAATTAGTACTTTTTCACTGTCCTTTCCCACCTAGAAACCACTGAAAAGTTGGAGCCTAAGTATCGTCTCGGCATCTCCCTTGCGATTCCCAGCCTGGGTGAAAGCAGAGCTCCTCCTCCTGTTTTTTCTTTTTGTGCCAACCTGGTCTATAATACCACTTGTCCCTCCTATCTGGGCATGGGACCTCTCAAAGACAGATTCTTCCCTGAATGTGATTAGCTCTGTGGCTCCTCATTGCATCCTCTCTTCAGTGCATGGCATACATGGCTCTTCCCAGGCTGGCTCAGCTATTTCACCAGCCCTGCATCCTGCTCTTCCCTACCTAACACTCTAATCCAGCCATGCTAGATGCTTTGCTGTCTGGTGAACACATCAGGTGCTTTATAGTTATCATGCCTTCCTTCTTGCAAGCCTTACGATCGAATACCCTCCCCTCTAAGACATACCCCTTCTCTTTGGAAATAGCTGTCAGCTGCCATGGCCATGGCTGGTTCTTCCCTCTAAACGCCAGGCAGAAATAAAAACTCATTCCTGTGTCTTCCCATGTCCTTTTTCACAGAGTAGATAGCATTTCCACGCTAGTGCAGTTGGCTGTATGTGTCATTTCCAATGGATGCTGAGTCCCTCAAGTCTTACTCTTCTTCTGTATTTGACTTGGAACTATTAAGTGATGACAGCAGAGGGGGCACAAGCTTCAGAATCAAAAGATCTGGGTTGGAATCTCAACTCTGCTACTTACTACCCGTGTAAACTTGGGTGAGGTAATTTGCTTTACTCTGTCTCTGTAATTGCATTTGTAAAATGGAGATAAGAGTAGTTATGCAAAATGCCCAGTATCAATGCCTGGGTTATTGTAGGTCACAAATATACTTGTGGAATTGAAGAAATGTGTCCTTTGATGAGAGGAATTTTCCTTCTGAAACTTGCCAGTACATAGCACCCTTTCCCCATCACACTTATGATTTCCATGTAACCTCAAGAGCCTCAAGACCTGAGCTCTCCCAGGAAGCCTGCCTGACAACTCCAGTCCTCTGACCTCCTATCACATCAATTCACTGTTGTGTGATAGTAAAGATACTGAAACATTATTGCCTGGACTTGTTTATATTTGCATAATATGTATTTCTTATCTTCTCATCTAGATTGGAAGCATCTTAGGAATAGGATCTGTATATCTTTTTATACCATGACATCTCTTCGATCTCATCCAGATGTTTTCTAAGATAGACACTTGGTTGTTATCTTTATTAATTTAATTTTTGCTTACAACGGGCCTTATCTCTGCAGTTGATGTGCTGTTAGGACCATTATAGCAGTTGGCACATACGGAGGCTCCTCCCTTCCTCACCCCACATCCTCCTCTGCACTATTCTTTGTGAATTTTCCCCATGTTTAGCTGGTAAGAGAAGTGCTGCTGAATATCAATGTGGCGCCTGCTACCCATCTATAGAAAACCGATGGAAATCCCTCAAGGGCACAACTCATAGACTAAACATGATCTTGTTAATGTGCCTTGCTGTCTCTTTAGGGACTTGTGTGTGCGTTTGTGTGTTAATCTTGTTTTGCTTGTGAGAGTGATCAAACCGTGTTAAACAAAACTGCAGAGGAACGTGTCAGAAGCAGGGTTGTACGTCCAAATCCAGACCCTGCAGTCCTAGTTTGTGCTGTTACAGAGTGAAATTTGTCTGCATCTTTCACTGTTCATTAGGCCGAGCTGCAGAAGCTGAGACAACAAGCCCTGGAGACCAAACACTTCATTGAAAAGCAGGAAGCTGAAGAGAGAAAACTCCTGCGAATCATTGCTGAGGCTGATGGGGAGAGGGTGAGACAGAAGAAGGAGTTAGACCAGGTGGGAATGTCTCCTCACTAGGCCTACAGACCCCGTCAGCAGACACAACTCTTCACGAGCCCTCAGTCTTCTCCAAGCTCTTCCATTCAGTCTACTGGAGGAACAGCAGCAGAGGTCTAGCTCTGTTGATTAGTTATGAAATATTCATTCATTTATTCACGTCATTTACAAGCACTTTCTATGTGTCAGTCACTCCTCTAGGCACTGAGGATACACTGACTGACAAGAAAATAAGGTCCCTGTCCTCAGGGAGCTTACATTCTAGTATGATATAATTGCTCATATGTAGTTGCAAATAATAATTACATAATTTGTGGTTAGAAACTTAAATGCTTTGAGAGATCTGGCAGGTTAAAAAAAGAGAGAATTTGGCTAGTGTAAGACAGCAAGGAGTGGTGGAAGCTAGCCCATCATAAAGTCATTCAAATGTAATCATTTATAAAATACTGAATTGGAAAAAACCAAATCAGCAAACACTTATGGGTCAAGGATTGTTAGATTATTATTATTATGGATTATTTGTTGAACTCTTTCTTTTTCCAAAGAGACTGCAAACTCTCACAAGAGGAGTCCAGTGTTGATTGTCTAGCAGGCCATTTCCAGTGCCCCGCCCTCTGGGTGCCTAGCACATGTGGGCATTGGATAGATATTCCTTGACTGAATGAATGCTGTTGCCATGATGTAAAGTGAGACCATTAGTCCCCTGGTGGCTATGCCCTTCCTTACCTTTCTAGGTCATCAGCGAGAGAGATATCTTGGGGTCACAGCTTGTTCGGCGCAATGATGAGTTGGCTTTGCTCTATGAGAAGATCAAGATCCAACAATCTGTGCTGAATAAAGGCGAGAGCCAGTACAACCAGAGGTTGGAGGACATGAGAATCCTCAAACTTGAGATCAAGAAGCTTCGCCGGGAAAAGGGGATTCTTGCCAGGAGTGTGGCTAATGTTGACGAACTCAGGTAATAGGAGTGGGTGAGGAGTTCTCGGAATGACTTTGTGTTCCTCTTGTTGGTCATTGAAAGTCTTCACAAGTTGTATTAAATAATTTTTTCTATGTTGAAATTATTAGCAAATAATGAGAACTTTTCCATAATTCGCAATCTGCATGGTGTCCATTGTCTGTTACAAAAAATGAACTGGTTTCCTTTCAGGGGAATATACGAGAGTGCAAAAAGATCTGAAAACTTTATTCTGGATTTTAAAAAAGAAATTTCAAGTCAAATCACAAACACAAACTAGTTACAATTCAGAAAAAAATTTCCCCCAATGAGCTCTTTGGAATGCCTTTAATAAGGCAGTAGGCAAGAGATGGAGCATCAATATTTAAATTTAATCCTGGTAACATTTGCACATCTTTTTCTTGGAATTATACACAGAATGAAAAGAGGGGAAAAATTTAATTTTATCGCTATTTGAAAACTCTGCTTCCTTAGAAGGCAGCCAAATTTTACATCTCACTCCTGATTTGTCTTCTGCAGCTTTCCCTTTGCTTAGTGTGCCTTCTTCTTTCTTTAAATCTTATGTTATGCAAGATCTATTTTCCCTTTGGGAAAACATCACCGTGTTTTATATAGGCAATTGCGGGAAACCTAATGAGAGGTCTGGTGTTTTCTCAGTAGCTATCCTTATTCCCCGCAGACTTGTAGATGAAGAGTGTCCTTGACCACCTTGGGACAAGGACACCATTTAGATCTGCTTCTTAAATTAATTGAATTAGAAGATAGTTTGGATACTTAGATGCAGTGAATGTATTCAGGAATAGCAAGGGAAGTTGCCACTATCAAGGATGGATCAATACTTTTTTTTAGAGTTGCTCGTATCTGAGATGATGAAAGTAATACAAATTCATTGTAGAAAATGTGGGAAATGCAGAAAAAATATAAAGAAGAGATTAGAAAATCACTCATAAGTTTACCACCCAGAGACACCACCATCGACATTTTGGAGACAAATGGATTCATTCTAAGTAGCTATTGAATGTTCTCAAAGACCATCACTAAACTTGCCAGCCATGAGTTATTTTTATTACATCCACAAAGGACCAAATTCTACCCATTCTTAGTCAACATGGCTGGTTTGACCTATTATCTATTGATCTATTATCAACAAATAAATTTTATTTTTTCTTTTCAATGGGAAGACAACTTAATAAAGATATTGGAGGCAAGCAAGCATGAATATCAGTCACAGCGTTGCCAACTACAAGCTGTGTGACCTTTGGCAAATCACTTAACTTCTCTGAACTTTAGACGTATAGTTAAAATTAAACACAAAAACAAACATAATGTGCCTAGCAGAGTCTAGTACAAAATAAGCCATCAAGGATGGCCACTAAAACTCTTGCCCTCCTCTTCTAAGGACACTCTAGAAAATCAAAGTGTTAAAAATAGACTTTTAATTCTAAGCAGCTTGTTCTGAGCTCCGCTGAGTGAACATCATGCAGTTAATTCTAATGGTTTGTCTTGCTAATGAGGGGAAGTTGTATTATTGGTTTAAATGAAGCAATTAAGTAAAAGAGATGGCTTAGTATTAGTAATCTGCACACCCACAGCAGACGAGGATAGATAACAACATCCTTAGGCTGGTGTCACTGTGAGTGCTTGCCCCTTCTCCACCTCCCAACAGGGCATCTCGTTGAATAGGGTGGCAGCCAGCCCACCGGGTGCTCTGGATGGCTGTGGCACGTCACCTATTAACTAAGGACTCCCACAGATTTTAGAAGTATGTTTGAACCAGTGCTAGCTCTTCAGGACTTTTTCAGCCATCTGTGGAGTTGTGGAGCATGAGATAAAATATCACTTCTAACTCAGTGTTTCTCAATCCTGGCTGCACGTTGGAATTACCAGAAGACTTTAAAACCTGTGAAACCCAAGCCATGTGCTAGACCAATTAGAGCAGAATCCCCGTGGGGATTGGGTGCAGGCAAACGTGTGTTGGCAAAGCTCTCCAGATGGTTCCCAAGTGCAGTCAGGATCGCCTAAGCCATAATATGTTGCAGTCAGGTGCCATGCCTGATGGCAGAATGCAGATTGTTCTCCTGCTGTTACTATAGAGACATTTAGAAACATTAAAAAGTATATTGAAATTCTCATAATTCACCCCCTCCCTGTTCTTTCCATATACTTCTAAATTCCTTGGGGATCCAGAGTCATGATTCTGAAGCTCTGGCGATTTTTTTAAGCTACAGCTGAAGTTGGAGCCCTGAAAGAATTGATACCGTCTGTGTCTTGCCCAGATTAGCAGGCCGGGTCAGTGTTCACAAAAGTCTCCCTAATTCTAACTTTCGTATAAAGTGTGGTGTGTATGCAACCACGTGAAGATATGGTGTTCAGATGGGCGGGGAATTCCTGTGCAAAAGAAAGTTTGTCTTGTTCAGACAGGAGCTTTTCCACATGCAAAGAGACTTCTTGAAGGAGAGGACGCGATGCCGGGCCCTGGAGGAGGAACTGGAGAACCCCATGAACGTGCACAGGTGGAGGAAGCTCGAGGTAACATCGGCAGAGCCTTCCTCCCAGCTCACATCTCTTCTACCCCCAAGGCTTCCTACGTAAAGCACAATAGGAAGCGTGATTTTATTTAGTGCTACGCAAACTGTCACCTCAAATGGAAGGCGGGGTCAGATGGAAATTGGGTTGTTCCAGAACTAGACAGTTTATGTGAGTTTTGTTTAAAGTCTTAGACACAATCTCGTTTGTCTGAAGAAGACCCAGTGAAAGCTGTGAACTGGCCTCACCAATAGACATTTATTTTTCTTGTTTAGGTAGCTTTTGGTCAACCTGTTATCCTGTGACTGCCTGTTAGTCTTGGACTGTTAATTACCTTTAGCTACATTGGCCGTCAGCATCTTCACCATCTTTCAACTGGTATTTGCATCCTTTTGTTTCCTGCAGGAAATAGGGCGTTTGTCAACTAGCCCTCCTTTTGAAGGACAAGCACTGTGTTAGTGAAACCCTTTCTCTTAGGATCTGGGGACACAGCTAAAGTCCCATTGATAGGTGATAGATAATAAACTTCCTATTTTATTTTATGACTTCCTAATAGACATTACCACCAGGACTGAAGAAAATAATTAAAGACGAGTTCTGCTTATTCAAGAAAAAGATGGCACCTTCTATACTTGTACCCGGCAATGTGGGTGCCAGAAGGGGCTTCGACTACATGAACAGTTAGGGCATTGAGAGAAAATAAGTATGTGATTTAAGAAAGAGCAGGGCAAGGGACAACATCAGCCAAGTAGGTTGTTGTTTTTCATTTTTATTTTTTCCTTTTAATGAAGAAAACACTAAGAATAATGCATGATAAACTGTTATGTAAACATGAGGCCTGAATTTTAACATCCATTCTTGCCAAATGAATGTGTGCCACATTTGGTCCCGATGTATGGATATCGGTTGGCTGTGCTTAGTATTTCCTAGGCAAAGTCAGAGTCGATGGAATGTCTTTTCCCCCCATCTTTTGGACCCTCATTTTGGACCCTTCAAATGCCAAGAGTGGTGTCGTTTACTAAACTTATAATAATGTGGATGTGTCTGGGGAAGTGGAGCTGAAGATTTTAAATTCGTGTACTGTCACATTAGTTTATTCCATGGGTTTTCAAGCAGATCTTTAAAGTTTCCAATTCCATGTCAATTTCTATTAAAAATTAGAAAATAGAGACTCTGGGAGGCAGTAGAAAATTATTTCGCTGCTGGATTAATTCAAAATGTCAGTACAGTTGAAAGTGAAGCTTTGGCTCAAAGTCTACGGGATGAATTATCAATTTCTAACTGTACATCTTGTTTGAACTGCACACAGCTAGCTATTGAAGGCGCATCAAAACTTTACAGATTGATAACGCCATTTGAGAGGGAAATGCCAGGGTCGTGTTCTGTTGCCAGTTCTGAGCGGGCATCCACATGCTAGAGACCGTCCCCATCATCGCTGTAATGCGTCTTCTTGTTGACAGTTAGCAAAGGAGAATCCTGAGACTGAATGAATTAGGGAATCCGTCTCACTCCTACGGAGACAGAGATGATGTAGGGAAAGCCTCAGAGAATAGTAATTAAGACCCACAGGCTTTAGAACCAGGTATGAATCTGGGCTTAAATCCAGCTCTGACCCTTACCAGTGTGGGTAAATCACTTAATCCTCTGAGCCTCAGTTGTCTTATCTGTCAAAGAGCAGATAAGACACACAGTCTCATGGGGCTGTGGTGTGGCTAAAATTTGATAACGTATGAAAAGCACTTAGCATAGTGTCTGGATGGTGGCGGAGAATCAGGTATTATGCTCAGTAGCTATCATCATTGTTGTTGTTATTATTTCCTCTAGTGGGATAAACGTATTCACTTTCAATATATTTGCTAACTAGGGCCGATAGATAAAACATTAGCCAAACGTCAACCTGTTTTGATGACCATCCCATCTGTTACACTTTTTTTTTGTTCTCATTCTCTCTGCATTGGGTCTGCAGGTTTGTGATAGATTTTCATGAAATGATAATTATTTTGCATAGGGACTCCAGTGCTTTGAAACTGATGATATCTCAGCTGCTTTATTTTGTTCCCCTTGAACAGGCCAGTGACCCCAGTACCTTTGAGCTGATACAGAAAATTCACACCCTGCAGAAGCATCTCATCAGCAAGACGGAAGAGGTGGTTGAAAAAGAGCTGCTCCTTCAGGTAGCATTTTCATTTTCTGTACTCAGTGAACAAGCATCTTTTCTTAGCAGCACCCTCTCCAGGGCTGCTTTGTAGAATTACTTATTTGGCAGCGTTGCATGTCCCTTCTTTAACTGTAGGTGGCAACAGTGACTCACACACAGAGAACAAACAACCTGATTAACTGGTCTTTTATGCTGCCCTCACCCATATTTCAAGAATTCTGGAAAATTAAGTTCAAGGCTAGACCTACTGAATTGGGTAATATGAGCTTTTTTCTCTCACTGCTCTACAATTTTATTTGTCAGATTCTTTTAAATACTTTTCTTCATGTCTTCATATAATGCGAAATGCTATGGTTTTGATTTTGAAAATAAGCTTTTACATAGAGCGCAAATGATCTGTCCCCTTGAAGATTTGTGAGAATGAAATGGAAGGAAAGATTTCTTTTTGAGGATTTTAAGCAGCGAGTTATTCTGGAGCGAGTAGGAATGGTAACTTCCTTTTAGGCCTATGTCTTTGCAAGGACCAATTGTCAGCTCCATCAGCAGCAGCATCATCATCATGCCAGCTGTGCTGGTGGCTTTCCCTACCTTGTCTCAATCCCTCTACATAGTTCAGAGGGATGGGATTGTCACCCCTAATCAATGGATGAGGAAGTTGGGCTCAAGGAGTTTAGTGTGGATAAGAATGGAAGTCTGGTGTTAGATGGCCTGGGTTGGAATCTGCCTCTGCCAATTTGCAGCTATGTGAGGTTAACTTCTCTGCACCCGAGATTCTTAATCTGTATTATGGACAATAATAGAAACTGTGCAAAGGGATGTTGTGAGGATTGAAAGAGCTTAGCGTTATGCTTGGCACATAGTAAGGGTCTAACACATCTTAACAATTATTCTTGTTATTTCTAAGTCTGAAGCCCATAATCTTAACCACTAGGTTACCATTAGTAAGAGAAGAAACTGCCATATATGAGCAAGGGGCATTTGCCCCTTCTTTTTTACGTTCTACCTTAAAAAAGACATTTTCCCTGAAGTTGGGTATACAGGACTTACTGTATACCAAGCTTATGAGAGCATCCCTATACTGAGTGGCCAGTAGGGACTTTCCTCTTCTCTTAGAGGTGAGCATGGTGGTTGAGAGGGCAGACTTTGGAGTCAGAAAGATCTGGTTTTGAATCAACTCCAATGCCATATAGTTTCATGACTTGGGGTGAATTACGTAAATTCTCCAGACCTCAGCTTCTCCATCTGTTAAGTGGGGAGGGCAATATCTAGTTTCATCACGGGTGGAAGATACTCTTGTCAGAGTGGATGATGTGGACGTCCTGTTGTAAGGATGCCCAGTTAGTGCGTGGGCACTGAGATCCGGCAGTCCAGGCTTTGAGCTGTGGCTCCATCAATGCCACCTGCAAGTGACTTGCCCAAGGCCATGCAGCTGGTAAGTAGCGGAGTAAGGACTCAGTCTAGGCAGTTGGCTCCAGAGCCCACACTTTCTGCCACTTCCACCTGCCTCTCCTGTCATTATCACTTTGTTAGCTTTAAAAAGAATCAAATTTTGTGTTTTGCCAAGCCTCTCTATTTTGTTTCATATTTCATTGACTGCTCTAACTTTAAGATTTCCTTCCTTCTACGTACTTTGAGTTTATTCTGTTCTTTTCTAGCATAATATTGGTGCTCAGTTCATTAATGTTGAGTTTACTTTTCTAATATAAGCATTTACGGTTATAAAATGTCTTTAAATAATTTCTTTAGTTCCTTCCCACAGGTTTGGAAATGTAGTATTTCCATTTTCATTTAGTTCTAAATATTTTCTATTTTTGGAATTATTTCTCCTTTGAGAGTAAGTCTTAAAATATATCCAGTATTTCTCCTATGGTAATTAAAAATACAACTCTAAATTTCCAAGTATATATATATTTAAGTTATTTTTTAGTTATTGATTTCTCGTTTTTTTGCATTGTCGTCTGTATCGTACCGATTCTTTGGAATTTGTTGAGACTTGCTTTGTGAATAACTAAATGGTCACTTTTTATAACTGATGCCTGTGTGCTTGAAAAGAATACGAACTCTAAATGTTCGAGATTCAGGAGTCTATATGATGTTTCATCAAATCAACCTTGCTAATTGTATTGTCCAAATCTATATCTTTCCTAATTTTTTTGTCTGCCTAATCACTGAAAAAAAGTTTGGAGATTTGTGTTTCTCTCCTTGTAATTCTGTCATTTTCTGCTTTAAGTACATTTTAGATTATGTTCATAAGGTGAGTAAAAGGTTATGATTTTTATTCCTTCCTGGTGAATTGTTCCTTTAATATTAGGCAAGAACCCTCCTTAATCCTTAATGCTTTTACTTACAAATTGTCTGATATTAATATAGCTGTACAGCGTTTTTTTTGCATAATTTTTCTATACTTTTAAACTTTTGATGTCCTCATATTTCAGATGAGTCTCTTGTAATTAAAAAAAGTCCAATCTGATATCTGTGTCTTTTGACTGGTGTATTTATTTATATTTACTGATAATTTCAGGTTTATTTCTACCTTCTTATTTACTATTATTTACCCTAATTTTTTTAATGCTCGAACAATGTCTGCCTCTGCTTTCTACTGGGTGAAGTTTTCTTTATTTCCTCCTGTCAGTCGCTTTTCTCTCATTACTCCCTATTCCCTTTTTCCTGGTTTATTTTTTCTGAATGGTTACCACTACTCAATGACTCAATGTAATCCTCTCTCTCTCATGGATTTCCTTAAAAGTTTAACATGAATAGTTGACCTCAAGTCTAAACAAATCTAAAGTTGATCAATATCCTTATCCTTCTTACAAACAACACAGGGACGTGGAATGCTGTGACTCCAGTTACCCCTGCAGTCCTCCCAGTGTTAGTCATCATCATCATCATTCTATAGAGTCAATGAATTATTTATTCAGATTTACCAAAATATTTATCAGTTCTCGTTTTCTATTTCTTCATGTCTCCAATTCCTTACTTCTAGGTTCCATCTCCTTCTTTTTGAAGTGCATCCTTTCATAGTTCTTTCAGTGGTAAATTTTTCAATGGCCAACAATCTCCTTTACTTGTCTAAAAATGTTTTTATTTTGGCCTTACTTAGAAATGATTAAGTTCAAATCCTATTTTCTATTTGTACTTTGAAGATGTTAGTCCTTTGTGATAGCTTCTAATGATGCTATTGAGAAGTCTGCTGTCAGTCTAATTGTTATTACTCCTTTTTAAGTATCCTGCCTTTTCTTCTGTTTGATTGTTAGAGCTTCTCTCTGTCCTTGGTGTCCTGGAGTTTCAGCACAATGCATTTGGTATGAATTTAGTTTTAATTACTATGCTTAGGACTCACTGTATTTCCTGAATTTGAGGATTCCTGTGTCTTTGAATAGTCTCTCCTTTATTCTTTGTTCACTCCTTCTAGAACTCTCATTAGCTCTATGTTGGATTTTCTCATTCATCCTTCCTATCTCCTGACCTCTTTGATATTTTTCTTCTCTTTCTCTCTTGTGTTACATTTTCTCAGCTTTATCTTCTTGTTCTCTAAGTTTTTCTTTAGGTGTGCTTGCTTATCTGCTAATAGTCAATCCACCGAGATTTTTATTTTCAATGATTTTATTTTTATTTTCTAGAGATTATTTTTCACATATGACTGGTCTTTGTTGATAGCATCTTGATCTTTTATGTTTTTATTCCTTTCTTTATGTCTGCAATTAATTTAAACATTTATTTTATAGTCTTTATCTGATTGTTCCATTATGTGAAGGTCTTGGAGGTAGGTGTTTCCTGTTGTTTATTGTGACTGCTGACCTTCATTCATGGTGGATCTTTTTCCTTTTGTGTTGTAATTTTGGATTGTGAACTCAATTTCAGAAAGGATTGATTTATGAGACTTGGGAATGGTCCAGGTTGAGGGTGTATCCCTTCATTTGTTTCTGCCAGGTGCCCTAGGAGATATCACTTGCTTAGGATAACTTTTTTATGGTTCACTTCTCATGTTGGGGCTTCCTGCACCTCTGGTTAATGTACATCAGACCCACAGACCTTTGTGATGGAAGATCTATGGATACAAATTCTACAGTTAGCCAATTTTTTTTCTCACCCAGAGCCTGGGGGAGAGAGTTAAATTTCCTCATGGTCTTCTTGTTCCAGTGGGTGGATTTCTATCTAGTGTGTCTTTCACTGAGAGTGTAACTCTTTGAAGTCCCTAACTTTATGTGGAGGAGGCTCAGTTGCCAACTACCTGCTTTACACAGGTCCAGCACCTCATCTGTTATCATTTTGTGGCCATTAACATCCAAGCCCCTTGTTCGGTGAGTCCAGCCGCTTGTCCCAGCCAGCCCCCAAGGGATAGCTGCAATATCTATTCATTGTTCTCACATGCAGTTTGCCCTTTGATTTTGACATCTGAGGATCAAACTACTTGCAAACTCCATTTTGTGATTAAAAGGATGTGTTGTTTTAATCAGCACGTTCAATGCTTTGAGAACTTTAGTCTTCAGGTTATTTATTCTGCCATATTGCCATAAATAGAAATTTCTTGTCTGCTATAATCCCTAGTTTTATCATCCATAAAATGGGGATAATAATAGAACCTACGCAAGAATCGAGAGTGTTAGGTGCACATAAAGTTTTATCAGAGTGCTTAGTTATCATTAACAATGTTCTCACGAACATTATTTTGATGATGATTATTAATTATGTTAATTCATATATTTTAATTATATTAACAATATATATTATAATAACAATAATTATTACTGACAATATTAACACCAAGCAGATTTTTACAGGTCTCCAAAGTTTAATATCCTGCCTCACTGCCCTTTATCCGATTCCTCGTTTAAACTTTCTTTTGGATAACTGGGCTGCCCTGTGCCTGCTGTGCCTTTCCTCCTGGATCTTGCATCTCCCCCCACAATAAGCCTTGTTATCTTGGTGAAGCCCCAGGTGCTCCACAGGATTTGACAGTTCCTCAATTTCATCTGTTTTATTAAATTATTTGGGAAATTCTCTGCACTCACA